AATCCTCGCCAAGATCATCAGCTCTAGGTAGAGTCAACATCATAAAAATCTGTACGTGGTATGCAATCATGCATGCGTCATCATCATCATCAGCAAGAATCTAAATGACCTCCAACGAATGTGTTTATAAAAGCCCACCAAATCCACCAAATCCACCAACTCCTTCCTGGCCTACCCAAGAAAAAAAAACAATCAACCCAACCCACCATCGACAAAAAGAAAACAAACTTTCTTATTTTTGGTTCACCTCATTCAATCATGCCTTTCCAAATCCCATCTTCAATAGTGTTGCTTCAAAGATAACCGCCCTGGGGGCTCCCTGACCCCATACTAACATCACTCATATTCCCCCCCTTATTACTGCCTCCCACAGTCAAGTTACTCCTCCCAGTTCCAGGAACGATACTCACTCCGCCGGCATCAGACGTCGGCGTCAGCATCCTCTGCTTCTCTGCACTATGGCGATTGGCAGGCGAGCCCCTCCTGCTGGGGCCAGACTCCGCAACAAGCACCTGCGCGGGCGTCACGACAATCTCATCATCTCCCATGCCCATATCATCTCCTTTCCTTAGCACAAGCGGGAAAAGCACGACCCGGACTGTGGCCCCACTAGCCTCAAGCTCCTCATTCGTAAGGCCGACAGTGCCCGATGCCTCGTTCATCAGGGCCGCATTGAAGGTGACGGTCTCTACGAGTTCCCCGCTCTCGTCGTACTCGGGCTGCAGCGGGGGCAGCATCATGTACTCGGCACGCTGGCAGCGCATCTCGATGGCCAGACTGACCGCCTCATGTATGACGCGGCGCAGCTGAGCGGTGATCTGGTCCTCCAGGTGCGAAGGCGGTGGCAGGATCTTGGACAGGGTGTCCATGATGGCCTGGACGACAGCCTCGGTGTCCTGGTTGCGCTGCTTCTTGAAGGACGGACGACGAGAGAGCAGGGTCAGCGTGATAGCGCGCCACTGACGGACGGCGTGCGGAGGGCCGACGTCGGTGAGCTGCTTCTCGAGCTGCTTGAGCTTCTGGCGCTGCTCGCGGTCCATGCCGAAAAGGTAGCGGGTGAAGACAAACTCCCAGATCATGGTCATGGTCATGCTCATGAAGATGTCGCGGCGACGGACGCGGTCGTTGAGGAACTTGTCGACACTGGAACCGTCCAGGACGGCATTGTCGAGGCGATCGATCAGCTTCTCATCATTAAGCTCTGAGGTCAGGCGGCAGGCACGCATATCGCTGAACTTAGAGAAACGCAAAACCCATTGTTGAACATGGGCGCACAGCTGTTGGCAACGGGTATCGAAGTAGTCGATGTCGTGGATTTCGAGGAAGTCTTGCAGGTTGGACTCGAGCGGAGGAGTTGGCAGGCGGGTGTTGGCAAGGATCTGCTGCTGCAGTTCGCGGATCTGCTCGGCCGAAGCATCAAGCTGGGCACGCAGGCGAGCGATCTCGGCGTCCTTTTCCTGGAGGGCCCGGGCCTGCTGAGCTGTAAGGGCCCGGGCCTGGTCGGCTTCCCGAGCAGCTTGCTGGGCGGCGGCACGGGCATGCTCGACTTCCTTTACGGCTTTTGCGACGGCAGTACGGGCTTCGCCGAGCTCGCGGGCGGTACGAGCATGGTTGTCCTCGAGGCGGCGGATCTCTTCGTGGTGTTTGACGGCCAGAGCGGATGTGGAGCTGCGAAGGCCTTCGTTCGTTTGCTTCAGGCGGTCGATGACCTCGTTGGCCTCGCTCAGCATGCGTTTGAGCGACTCGATCTCGTGATCGCGCTCGGCAAGGTAGCTGACATCGCGACGGGCCATGGCAGCCTCCGCCTGGGCGCGAGCCTCAGCGAGCATTCGGTTCTCGGCCATCAGCTGCTCGATGCGCGACTCCAGCTCGAGCAGCTGCATGCTCTGACGTCGACGCATGCTGTGCGGTCGCGTTGGCGACCGCGGCGAGCCGATGCGGCCTTCGCCATAGCCATCCTGAGGGGGTGTCAGTACCATTGGGCTGGAATAATTTTCACGAGAGATCCTTGTTCTCTCAAAATATTGGGAGGGGAAAAAAAAAGGGGGGGGGGAGGGTGAGGAATCAACAAAAAAAGAAAAAAAAATGCAACGGTACGGCACTTACATAGACATCGGTCATCTCCCTGGTCCTTGCACGACGTTCATTCGCAACGGGCGGGGTATTGGTGGTAGTGTTGGATGACAAAGGCTGGGGGAGCCTGACGGGTGGTGTTATTGCTGATGCAGGCAGGGCCCCGGCTGCAACGGTACCGGGAGCAGGCGATGGTGATGGGGACGGAGAAGCAGACGACAGAGGAGCACCTCCGACGACGCTGGAGGTAGCAGGATTGGCGGTGACAAGGCCTGCTGCAGGACTCAAGGTGCGGGAGAAAGTCGCAGGCTGAGTTTGGGTACGACTGACGGATCGAAGGTCGCCACTTTCAGGCCGCTTGGCGACTCGTTGAAGAGGAGAAGTACCTGGAGTGTCAGGCCGCAATGGGGAGACGGAAGGGTTGAGGTGGAGGGGTTCGGGCGTGCGCAGGCGAGAAATGCCTGTGTTGGCCACAACCGTCACGGTGTTGGGCGAGATGACTCTGCGCGGGGGGACAGCAGCAGCACCCGCACCAGCAGCCCCAAGTGGAAGACCAGTGGAAATGGACCGGGAATTCGAGTGGCTGGGGCTAGGGCTGGCGTTGGGGTTGGGGTTGGCGCTAGGGCTGGGGCCACTGCCCACGGGCTGCCAGCTGTCCGACACGCTGCGTTGCTTCTGCAAAGTCTTCTGCAGCTGCTGCACGCCATTGTCTGAGCTGGCCACTGACACACCTGGAGCTCCGACCCCGCGCGTCTTGGCGACGGAAAGCTTCTCCGGTTCGGGCGTCGTCGACGGCGGTGAAGGCTCGGCCAATCGCGGCGTCTCAGGCCCCAAGGTTCGACTCTGCTGCTGGTGCCCGCGCAACGGTGACGGAGTTGTCGGCGGGAGCAATGCCGGAGACGCAATGCGCGGCGACAGCGAACGCGGACTATCCAGGTGCACGCCGCTGTCTCGATGAACATGCAAGGGCTGCACGGCCTCGGTCGGAGGGGGGATTCGGGGCGACGTCGTCTCGGCCTCGAAGCCGCTGTCCCGGTGCATCTGGGCTCCCGATGGTGGGCCGGGAATGCGTCGCTTGCCGCGCAGGTTGAGCCGGCTCCGTTTCTCCTGTCTCTCCTCCGGTGACGGCGTCTTCTTGATCGGTTCCCCGTTCTCCTCTTCCTCCGACAACTCCTCCTCGACAGTCGGCAGGCTCGTGTGTGACCGCATAAACTCATGAAAGTTGGATAGCCGCGGGAGACAGATCGGCATATCTTGTGGATCGGTCTCTTGAACCTGCTTCTTGTCCGTGCTGTTGCCGATTGCGTTGTTGATGCTGCTATTGTCGTTGCTGTTGTCGTCCGCCGTGGGGTCCCTGGTGGTGAACACATCTTCGTCGGCAATGTCCTCGGGGAACGAAAACGACCGCTGTACTGGTTCCGGTGACTGTGACCGTTCCCTCGACTGTCTCTTTTCCTCCAGCTCCTTTGCGTATGCCGGGTCTCGGAGCGCCCTGGGGATCGTCTCCGAGTCCATCCTCCCAAGCCCTGATCCCGATGAGAGCCTGTGCCCCTCCATCTTGACCTCTGCTTCCTTGTCATCCTCTTTCTTGTCGTGACCCGCCGCTTCGTTGACCTCCGCATCGTTCCCAGCCGTATTATCCTTTCCATCCACATTTTCTGCAGGCTGCACCAAGCTGCTTGCCTCCGCCTTGTCCGGCTGATCGCGAGCATCCTTCTCCTCCACCTTGTCCTCAACAACCGCAGCTGCCTTATCCGCTGCCACTAGGATTTCCTCCTTGACCTTGTCGCTCAGCTGTACCTCGTTCTCCGTAAGCACAGCCTCAGCGGCCACATCTGCCTCAGAAGAAGTCTTATCATGCCCTTGCTCTGAGCCATCCTCCACAGAAGCCCGATCCACAACCCTGTCACCTTCCTGCTCCTTCTCCTCTTCATCAGCCATAATCAGAACCCCGTGGACCGGGATCTCTACGCTCTCTTCATCCTCGCCCTCACTTGTCTTGGTCCTCTTGCTCTGCTGCTCCGCATCCTTAAGGTCCTGCTCCCGTGACTGTTCACGAACCATATTGCTGCTCTCTTGTACCGGCAACAAACTCATGACCTGCTCCTCTAACACGATCAAGGCCTCTTCACCAGTCTCACTTGTCGACATTTCCGGAGAAAGCAACGTCGGCGACGGCGCACCCGGCGGGTACGGATCCGACGCATCGGGGATTAGGCCCAGCCCGATGGTTGGCTTGCTCTTGATCGGAACAGCAGCCGGATCGGCATCGTCCTCCTCGATTTCAACCGTAGCCTCGTTAACCGCTGTCCTGGTGGTGTCTGCCTCCTCCTCTTCCTGCTCCTGCTCCTGCGGACTGGGAACAACAATTTCTTCCTCGGTAACTTTGACACCGCCATCGTCGTCCAGCTCCTGCAACTTAGCCAAGACCTGGACTCGTGTCTTCTTGGCCTCCTCACGGGGTGTCTGGCTGCCGTCTTTGGCGGGCGTGGAGAGCGGAACATTGACCACGGAGCCCTCTTCTTGACTCTCGGCGCCACCTGCAGCAAGTGCTGTCTCGTCTGAGTCATCCTTGGTGTCAACAGCCTTCTTGACAGGTTCCGGGGAAGCCTCGGGAACCGGTTCCTCGGCAGGATGCGAAATCCTCGACGCGTCGGGGGCAGCCTCGGGCTCTGGCTGGGGCTCGAGAGAAGGTATCGGTTCCTTAATGGTGGGCTGAGTTAACTGCTCAAATTGTTTCTTGATTTTGACCTCAACCACAGCCTTCTCCTCGTGTTCGGAGACTTGTACCGACTCCCCATCGACAGGCAAAGCCCGATCCTCCGTGACGCTCTCGACTGTCTCCTCAGCCAATCCTGCAAAGTCAGCGGTCCTGGAAATCTCGTCAACAGGAGCAGATGGCTCTTCAGCCAACGAACTCGCAGCAGCAGCCTCTGGGGCATTGTCAAGATCAGTAACAGACTCCTTAGCAAAAGCCGTCTCGGTCACCCAAGGCTTAGATTCATGCTCGAGTCCAGGAACAAGGTCAGGCTGCGAAGGTTCATGGATTGGCCCGTCAACTGGCTCAAGAACGATTTCCTTGACGGCTTTGGAAACAGCAGTCTGGATAGGAACCTCACGAGGAGGAAGTTCGCCGGAGGACCCGACGGCAGAAACAGGCTCTTCGTCAGCAGTGGTCTCAGCAGAGGGCACCTCCTCGACAGGAGCCGTGGGGACTAGGACGGGAATAGACTGCTCAGCCGGGGTAGTGTCAACAGCTCCCGCTTCAGCAGCGAGAGCAACTGTCGGGTCCAGCTCTTGCATGGTCTCCGCGATCGCAGACTCCTCCTGGTGTACTGTCGCGGGCCCGGGCTCGGGCTCGGACTGTCTTGACTTCACTTCTGCCGGCTCTTTCGGGAACTCCGCCGGCTGGGTGTGCTGCTGTTGGGGCTCCGGCTCTTGTTGACGAGGGACTTCCGACCCGAGAACCTCCCCAGACTCCGGCTGCTCAACATTTCCCGGACACCGATCCGTGCCATCCTGTGCATCCTCTACCACCTGCTCAGGAAGCAAATCCTCCTCCTTGACAGCCCCTAGCATCTGCCTACCACGCTCACCAAACAACACTCTCGTCGGCGTGGGTGAACCCGTCGATACCGCCTCCTCATCCATCTCCCCGCTGTTAGGCCACGGCTCGACATCCCACATGACCGACGCCTTACGCCGCAGGCCCGGCGGCCGATCCTTTTTCTTCTTGGCTGCCCTCTTGAGCGAGTTGAGAGCGGCGACAACACGCGCCGTCGTGGCTATCCCCATCCCCGAACCCAAACCCGAACCCGTACCCGTGCCGGCACCGGTGCCTGTTGTCCCTGTCGACGCCGACTCGCTACCCTGTTCACTACCCCCAAATTCCGTCGGAGGGTTTGTCGACGGAAGGGAGTGTGGATGGGTGAAGTTGGGGGAAGAAGCCGCATCGGGACTGACACCAGAGTCGGCGCCAGCCAGCTCGAGGCCGGCGAAGACAGGCTTGCTCCTGCGGAATGGCCTGACATCATCCGACGCCCGTGAGCGGCTGTCATCGGTCACGGTAAACTCGCTGTTGGTACCAGGTTCGGTGACCTCCTCAACCGTGCTCAGCTGCGCCACGGTTCGCGACAGGCGGCGGCTTTCCAAAGACGTGCTGGTGACGGGAGAGGCTGGCGGTGAGGAAGCCGCTGGGGGGAGAAGGGTCGACAGCGGGGGGATTTCAGGCTCATTGCGAGGAGTCTGCTCGGGTGAGCCAAGGGGCCATGGCTCAGCATCCAGCCGGGGCTTGCGCCGCTTTCTCTTGTTCTTGTTGAGCAGGCTGTAGCGCGAGCGTTCGTCTTCGAGGTTCTGCATGTCCTCCGCGTCGCAGTCAAGGTCGGAGTCAGAATCAGAGTTAAAGTCGGAGTCGAAGACGTCGGCGTCAGGATCGGCTGTGTTGTCGATAGTTTTTGCGACGACCGAAGTGGCGAATTGATCGTGCAAGACAGTACTAACCGGCGACGACGCGATGGGCGCTGACGGTGTTGGCAGTTCACGCCTACTCTCAGGCTCACTCACGGGCACAGGCACAGGCACAAGCACAGGCTCTGGTGGTGAGGCTTCAATGCTACGCGATGAGAACGGGGTATCAACAACAGCCGCGTGCAGCTTGTGCGCGATGGACACGGGCGATGGCGTGGCATCGAAGTCACCAACCACGTCAACAACGCCAACCTGAGCTACAGTGAGAGGACGCCGCTGCTCCTCGGCCTGTGATGCCGGACCGGCTCCAGGATGGGCGCGAGGAGAAAAAGACGCGCAGTCTAGCTTATCACGCTGCCCTCTGCCCGCCGGGCTGTAGCCGTGAGAGAGAGTCTGCGACTGAGGGTCAAAATGGGACGGGACCGATAGGACCCGAGGCTGAGGCTGAGAGTGACTCCCAAGCTCGCGCTGAGCAGCAGACTGCAGCGCATGAGATGCGGGCGGTGTGGGCTGGTCGGCATCGGGACCAAGCTCGGGCTTCTGCTGCTGCTGCTTTTGCTGCTTCTGCTGGTACGGCTTCGACTCAGTCAACTGCAACGCTTGTTGGCTGGAGGAGGCTGGGGCGTCGGCTGCCATTGGCTCTTGGTTACCGTCGGGCTCGGTCGCTAATGCACCTCTTCCACTTGTCGTTGGCTCACTGGCGCTGCCCTGGCTGCCCAGCCCTGGTGCGCCCGCCGCATCGCCCGGCAAGCCGCCTGGCAGACCTGGCAGACCCAACAGCGGGCCTGCAGCAGGCTCGGCTGAAACGGTGCCACTGCTGCTGCTGCTGCTGCTGCTGCTGCTGCTGCTATTGCGATCGCTGCCAAGCTCATTTCTGAGAGCATCACCAACATCACTATCATCGCCATCGTCGTCGTCGTGCGCACTTCGAGAGAGTGGACCTTCCGCGTCTACAAGAAAAAAAATCATTTGTCAACGACACAACTCACAAACTCTTCTATTTCCTCATTTTTTGGGTTTCTGCTTCTTACTCTTCTTATTCGTCCCAATCATGCCCTCCACAACCTGTCTCCAACCCAGCCCCATTGCCCCAACTCCGGCAAGTCCCCGGATGCCGGACCCGGCACTGGTACCGGCATTGGCTTCCTCAGCCTTCTCCGTATTGTTATTGCTTGCTGCCGCTGCTGTGGTCTTCGCTTCTGCGGCGGCGGAACTCTCCGAGCCGGCCGAGGCCGAAACTGGTTTTTGCTCGTCGGAGATTGAAGCCTGTGAAGACAAAAAGCCCACGTTAACATCACCGGTCCTCGTCACTCTATCGCCGCTCGCGGCTGCATGCTCTTGCAGGGGATTTGTAACACCAACTTCGGCGTTGCTGCGCTTCCGGTCCTCGGTCTCGGCGTCCACATACTGGTGGCCATTCCGTGAGGGGGCTAGCGCTGAAGGATCCTCGAACTTCGAGTCCTTTCTGGGGTGCCTATCGTTGGTGTTGTCGGTCTCACCTCTAGGTGTGCTTACTGGGCCTGAGTTGTTTACCACTTGCGCCTCCATGGGCGGTGTGAAGCCGGCGCTGGGCTGCTTCTTCTTGTTATCTGCGTCGGAGCCCTTCATCGTGTTGTTGTCCGGGAAGATTTTGCCTTCGTCCACTCTGGAAAGCTGCGTTTGTGATGAGATCGCCTGCTGCTGAACGAATCCGGCTCCGGATGGTCCCGATTGAGATGAGCCCTCGGCGGTCACGCTGCTCACGCTGCTCCGCTTCTTCTTTTTCTTTTTGTTCCTTTTCTTCTTGCTGCTACCAGAGGGTTCGGCCGTGGCTGCGAGGTTGGTTTGTGAGGCAAAAAGCTGCTCATCAGTCACGACAGACGCTGCATCGGTCTGAGCGTCAATGTTGTCGATTGTCAGGCTGGTCGTTGGTGCCAGAGACAGCGACGCTGCCGAAGACGAATTTGTGGGTACTGTGGGCTCGACCTTGACCTCTTCCATATGTGTCTCTGTCACGATTATCTCCGCTGGCATCGTCTTCTCGAGAGGAGGGTCGGGTGCTGGGGGTTCAGATGCATCTGGTTCGTCCTCGGCAGGAACCAGTCGGATGGTGCTAGGGAACTGACTAAGCTCGTTGAGTCTGGATGAGTCGCCGAGCCTGGATGTCTTCTGTGGAGACGGGAGTGGTTGTGGCTGAGGTTGATCTTGAGGCTGAGGTTCAGGCTTAGGCTCAGGCTCAGGCTCAGGCTGGCTTGCAGCTGTCATATCCTCCCTCTCGAGCGTTTCCTGTCTCTCAGGAGCCTCCTCCCTCTCTGGAGTCTGAGGTGGGCTCTGCGATGACTGACGAGCCTGCTTTGTTGCCTTGCCAGCCGACCGTATGCCAATGTTGAGGTACGAGCCGAAGCCGCCTGGTAGCGACGGGAGACCGCCGAACCGCGAGCCAAAGAGCCCCTTCTTGGAAGCGGTACTGCGGGTGCTTTCCGAAGAGCTCCTGCCAGCTGGAGCGTCAGTCTCAGTAGAGCTCCGACGAAGTTGCTTCTCAGGCGATATCGACCGAGAGGCTGTACTCCTGGTCAACTCCGCCGTAGTGCTTCGGCGAAGTTGCGGCTTTTCGGGATAATCTGATTGTGGCCTTGGCTCGTCGCGCGTTGTCGCCTCTGCTGGCTGCTGGACGTTGGACTGCACCGTGGACGGCGTGGGTGTCGGTTCCTGGGGCTGTTGCAACATAGCAGGAGTCGACTCTTGCTTGTCTGCAGAAACTCCGGACGGGGTCACCTCGGCCGGCTGAGCTTGCTTTGGTACCTCAGACTCGGACTCAGTCCAGGTAACCTGCTTCTCCCTTTTCGAGATGGGCGAATCCACCATTGTTGGCTCCTCAAGTTGGATCTCCGATGCTCCTTGCGACTCTGCCATGTCCTCCATCTTTTTCTTGGCCTGGGGTGACGGGGGATACGTGAGTGCCCAGTCTTTGACGTCGACCTTGGCTTGCTTTGGTCCCTGGCTTCCCAGTAGAGAGCCGAGAGTTCCCTTCTTGGGCGGCGTGTCATCCAGCTTGCCGGAATTGTCAGGCTGGGATTCGTAGAATGTAGAGCCCGACACATAGGTAGGTGCTTCGGACGCCGCGATAGTGGAGCCATCTTCCGTGAACGAGTGGACGCTCTCATCGTTTTCATCCTGATCTGAACCCGTGACTCCAAGACCCAACTGCCGCTGTAGCTCGGGCTGCTGAAAGGCCTGGTTGGGATCCTCTTGCCGCATATGTGAAATGATAAGGCTGCGTGAGGAAGTAGTAGGGGCGGCCTCAGCAGCAGAGGGCATGCTCAGCTTGGGCTCCGCCGGTTCGCTCTTCGAGAAGCCCCCTAGGACCTTCGGCCTGTCAAAGGTGCGCGTAGGCGAAGGTGTCTTCTCCGGTCGGGGAATATTACTCTTGAACTCGTTGAACGTTTGAGATGGCCGGGGCAGCTGGCTTGTTGGCTCAGCCATGGAGCTCGCTGTGATCTTTTCCCACTGTGTCCGGAGTGCAGCAAACTGCTGTCGCGGGACTGAAGGAACCGCTCGGCGCATAGGAGATAAGGGTTGTTTGCTGTCATCGGCTGACTCTGGCGCAGGCGGCGGCGTAGTAGAGATTTTGGGAAGCGGCATAGTGGACGAACGGGTCAAGCGCAGTGACGGAGCCGAAGACCGGCTGTGCAGGGGAATAGTCGAGCGGCTTTGCAAGGGAACAGGTATCCTTGATGCCTTCAGCGTTCGACTCGGAGCTGGAATAGAGTCCGGCAGGGAGGTGGACGACGCTTTGTGTGAAAGGGGCTGGGAAGCAGTGATCAGAGCTGACAAGCCAGGATACGTCGTCTCGGGAGCGTCAGGTTTTGTTGCTAATTGCTCGATAACGGCAGAAGTAGCTTCGGCTTGTGCGATGTGACTCTCCAGGGGATCTGAGCTTTCCTTAGAGACTGCAGTTAGCGAGGCTTCTGGTAGCTCAGGTTGCGTTCCGGGTTCTGCAGCGAGCTCGGTGACCGTAGCAGGAGCCTTGGAACCAGCTTCAGGGAGCTCGATCTGGGTAGGCTGTTCGTCGAGGTCTTCGGGAAGCTCTGTGACCATGTCCTGGGCTTGTGCAGGCTCGCTCTTTGACGCCTGTGAGAGCTTCTCCTCAGGGGCCATGATCGGCTCGATGACCGCAGCGTCAACCTGTGCGGGCTGGCTTGCCGGCTTTAGAGGAATTTCGTCGACAGCCGGAGCGGAATCCTCTTCGGTGGCTTGATTCTCGAGTGCAGCAGGCTCGGCAGGTGTGGCCTCTAATTGTTCGAGTTGCTCAGGCTCTTGTGACGCTTGTTCAGGGACCGCGCTCGGAACCTCATCCTGCGCGGCTTGCTTGTCGGGCTCGTCAGCAAGCCCGGTGACCGGGACAGGGGCATCCGTCGAAACAGGCTCTCCCGCCGGCTCTGCAGGAAGGTTGGTGTTCACTGGAGCGACATCGTACTCAACATCTTTCACTGGCTCAGGCGACTCGGAAATCGCGGTCTCAACATGCTCACGCTGGCTCTTTGGCTCTGGCAGAAGCTGAACGGACTCTTCCTGCAACGCTTGTTCCTCAGCCTGGGCAGACGCAGTAGCTGTAGCCTCGATCGGCTCAGCCAGGCTCTCCGGTTCGTTTGACAGTTGCTCAGAAACCAAAACTGGGACAACCTCTTCGCCTACAGCCTGCTTCTCGGGCTCGGCGGATGGAGCCACGTCTTGCTCAGGTAGGCTCTCAGGCTTTTGTGGAGGTTGGGCAGACTCTTCCTGCATTTCTGGCTTCTCAAGCTTGACAGACTCGGCGACGGGGCCTTCGACTTGCCCGTGCTGAGTCTCTGGCTCCCGATAAGGTCGCTCAGAAATTACAGAGGGAACCTCTTCTTGCACCGGGTCCTTCTCGGCCTCAGCCGGGTCGACAACCGTGGCCCCAATTTCCTGGGGTTGCGTCTCTGAATCCTGAGAAGGTTGCTCCGAAACCACAGCGGGAACCTCTTCTTGCACAGGAGCCTTCCCAGCCTCAGCCAGGTCACCAGTTGTGGCCTCGACTTGTTCGGGCTGCGTCTCTGACTTCTGTGATGGGGCTTCAGACGCCACAACCAGGAGAGCCTCTTCTTGCACTGCATCCTTTTCGGGCTCAGCGGGGTTGGCAACTGGGGCCTCGACTTGGAGCTGGCTTGCCAGCTCCCGTGACATTTGCTCGGCAACCACAACTGACAGAACCTCGTCTTCGACCGCTTGCTCCTCGGGCTCGATGGACTTGGCAGGTTCGTCAACCGGAGCCTCGATCTGTTTGGGCTGGCTCTCATGGTCCTGGGTAGGTTGTTCAGCGACCTCAGCGACAAGCAGCACAGCCTCTTCCTGCACCACTTGCTTCTCGGGCTCAGCGGTCTCCACGGTCTCAACGGGCTTACCGGGCTCGACAGGCTCCGCAAGCTCAGCAACGACAGGCTCGAATTGCTCAGGTTGGGTTTCTAACACCTGTTCAGGATGCTCAGGGACAACATCAGGTGCGATGTCTTCTTGCCCAAGCTGCTTGTCGGTCTCTTCAGCCGACTCAATGGCCGTAGTCTCAACCTGTCCGGCGGAGCTTTCTGGCTCAGGAACAGGCGTTTCGTCAACCACAGCTACAACAGCATCATCCTCAACAGGCTGGTCTGGTTTATCGGGCTCGCCCACGATCTCAGCGCTCATGGCAGGGGTTTCGGTTTGCGCAAGTTGACTCTCCTCCACTGTCGACATATGTTTGGGAGCGGATGAAGTGATGTCTGCTAGAACCTGTGACTCTTCAGGCTTCGGGAATGGCTCAGCAGCTGGATCTTGGACCAAATCACATTGACTCTCGGGCTCTGGGGCAGGATCGTCAACTGCAGCCTGGACTTGCTCAAGCTCGCTTGCGGGCTCTGCAGGTGGCTCGTCAACGGTCGGAGCTGTCACATCTTCCTCAGGTGGCTTCTTGAACTCCACCGGAGCCTCGGTGATCATGTCGACAGCTTTGGTGGGAGCAGGCTCATTGTCCGGCACCACAACTGGTGGTTCCGAGACAACCGGAATGGCTTCTTGCTCGGCCTGCTTCTCGTCGTGCACCGGAGACTCAGTGATCGTGTCAGGGACCTTAGCTGGCATAGGCTGATTGTCCGGCTCGAGGGATGTTTCGGATACAACCGGGGCAATGCTGACATGCACAAGTTGCTTTGCGTCCAGCTCCTCCGGCAACTCGGCCGCTGCAGCAGTGGCTTCAGGGACAGCTGGCAGGGTTTCCAGTTCCGCTAATGGGACCTGGGAGACGACATCCGGTACCTGTTCCTCCTCTGGCGATTGTTCCTCAACCTTCTCAAATGGCTCGGCGGCAGGGATCGGGGTGGCTTCTGCCTCTGAGATTTGGCTGTCGGGCTTATCCATAGCTTCCTCGGGAGTAGCATCTGGAGCCGGTTCTGCTGGTGCGGCAAGAGTCTCGGATTCTTCAGCAGGCTCGGCGACCGGAACAGCGGCAGCTTCATCTTGCACTGACTGGGAAGGTTCTTCACCCGCAGATTGCTCAAGAGCCACACCCAGGGCAGTTTCCGCTTGCTCCGATGGCTTCTCGAGCTCCTCCGCAGCGACCTCGGCGGCTGCGACAGTGGTGACTTCATCCTCCTGCACAGCTTGACCTGCTTGTTCGTCCGCCGTTTCATCGGAAACAATGGCCGGCGCGGTTCCAGCTCTTTCGGGCTGTTTCTCAAGCTCTTCCACAGTGACATGGACGACTGTGGCAGGAGCCGATTCGGACTGTTCTGGCTGACTTTCGAGTGGCCCGGGAGCTTCCTCGGATGGCGCAGCTGGGAATTCTTCTGGGCCTTGTGTAAGCCACTGTAATCTTAAGCGAGAACCCAGAAGCGAACTCGTACCTTGACCACAAAGAGGCCCGTCAGCCGGAGCAGGACCGGGAGAAGCATCCCGATTGGCCTCAGCAGGAGCAGGAGATGCAGCTTCAGCAGGAACTTCAGGGGATGAAGGTGTACCTGGTCGGCTCTCAGGAAGGGGGACAAATTTTATCTCCATAGAAAGCCTCTCGGGGACTGCCGTTGATGTGTCTTCTTCCGCCCACTCGTGTGAGCCAGAGTAATCAATCAGGGCGCTCAGGGTTCTCCTACCTTGGACGGCAGCAAACTCCGGGGCTGGAACAGGAGCAATAACCGTGTCATCTTCAGCAGTTGACTTGGCGGCCTCGGGACCAGCCTCAACGGTATCCTCCGACAGTTGAGGGGAAACAGAACGGCTCTCTCTGAGAACGGGAGTATTCATCTCTTCATTATACCCATCGAGGACCATATCTGAAGCTGCTTTTGCATGCGGAGGTTAGCTTAGGTGTCTCCCCCAACACAAAACAGCACTCCATACCTTGAGCAGGTTCGACGATCAGAGCAGGCATGACATCCATATCCTCCTCAACAGGCCTCGGGGAAGCAGGCCCCGCAGCAACATCCAGAGCAACAGGGCCAATTTCTAGTCAAGAGAGTCAGTACGATGCACTCACAACGACAAAAGGCGAGGTAGGTACCTTGGCTAACAGCCGGTTCTTGAATGGGAGCAGACTCGACATCGTTCTCTTCCTCAACAGGCGCTGGCGAAAAAGGCCGGGCGGTAACCTCAGCCGTGAAAGTCCGAATGTCTTCTAGTGCAATGCGTGAGCTAACGGTTGTCGCCTAACCTAGGAATGAGAATTGTGTCATACCTTGACTCGCAATGAGGTCTTGAGAAGGAGCAACATCCACATCTTCCTCAACAATCGGCGATAGAGGGCGAGAGATAGCATGAGAATCGAGAGCCGGGGGTTCTTCTAGACAAGCGCGTGAGTTGATGTGACGCTACCTCAAGAGAAAAATGATGACAAACCTTGGCGTGCAGCGGGTTCCTCGACGACAGAATCAATTTCCGCATCCTCCTCAGCAATCGGCGACAGGGGGCGAGACGGGTAGTAAGCGTCAACCGCCGGACCATCTTCCACTTGTGTCTGTCAGCTAAGTCTCACAAGAGGAAAGGAGGGTTTGATCCATACCTTCCCAGGGTGCAGGTTCTTGGAGAAGGGCATCATCATCAGCAACCATTTCTTCCTCCTCGGCCTTTAACGGGAAAGGCTCGGAGCTAGCATCGAAGAATAGATCCTCCTCCTCAGGATTTGACTCGGCGGGCTGAGCAGCAAGAGCAGGAGTGATCTCCCGTTCATAGGGCGAGTCGGGCCTGCTTTCAGGGAGAGCAGGGAGCTTGTCAAGATCCTCAGCCACAATCACCTTATCAAGCGCAGTTGTCTGCTGTTCAATTTCAACAGCCTTGTCAGTCTCGGCGGCGGCAGCCGAAACCTCCTCCGGACCCGGGATGGGCACTGGCTCTACATCTGCGGGTGAGGCGGGCCGGTCCTCAGAGAGAGGAGCCGACTGTTCCGGGACTTCAGCCGACTTGTCCTGATGAGAAGCAACGTCCCCTTCCTCAGCCTTTGGCTCGTCGGCGAGAGGAGACAGCTGCACGGAGTCGTTAACGGCCTCTTCCTGCGTGGCAGCGGCACTGCCCTCGACCTCGGGCTTAGGAGCTGAAGGAGCGAGCTCGACCATGTGTTCCGTGGCCTCCTGTTCAGGCACAGCATCGCTCTCCTCGGTCTTGACATCAACAGAAGGAGACGTGCTGGTAGGAGCCTCAGTATCTGCAACGGAGACCGTCGTTTTCTCAACAGGAGTCACGGAGCGGGTCTCTGGAAGAGGAGGGAGCTCCGCGGGGTCTTCAGTTGGCTGCTGGTCTTGTGCCACTGTCTCGTCAAGGGTCGTTGCGACGGGCTTTAGCTGCTCCTCTTTTTGTTCTTCGTTTACCGTGGTTGTGATCGGTTCAGGCTGAGCGTCCTCAACAGGAGCAACGACATCCGCCACAGGTGAGCTCGGGAGGGCTTCTGGCAAAGGAGGAAGGTCTTCTATGCTTGTCGCTTGCTCAAGTTCATGCAAGGCTGCGAGTTGCTCGGCCTTGGCCTCGACCTCGTCCACAAAAGCAGCGCTTGTCGGACCCGCGACCGTGCTGTTCCCAGCAGCGACCTCAGGAAAAGCCTCCGGCAGAGATGTGGCCGGACCGGCCTCAGGCAGCGCAGGGAGGAGCTCGATCTTGGACTTCTGAGGAGTGATCTCGGGCGCCAGATCGAATTGCTCAACCTCAGGCTCATCAGCAGAAGCAACGTGAGTCTGATCCTCCGCCGAAGCATCCGCAACAGCAGCCTCAGCGGGAGCAACCTCTGTCGGTGAGCCAGGACGGCTTCCTGGAAGAGGAGGGAGCTCCTCAGCCTTCAGAACATCAGCCATATTGTCTGGGTGCTCAACCTTGACCTCGGGCTCATCGACCAGTACAGCAGTTGCCTGATCTTCTCCCCCAACATGTGCAGCATCGGCCTCAGCCGGCTCCTCTGAAGTCGGCGAGGCAGGTCGCTCTTCCGGCAGCAAAGGAACGCCCTCAATCTTCACTTCACGAGCCATTCCCTGGGAAACATCCTCTTGCTGCTCGACCGGGTCATCGAACTCAATCGGAGTCTGGGCACCCGCCTGATCCTCTACCCCAACGTCCACAGCAACGTCAGCCGGACGCTCCTCAGTTGGCGATTCTGGGAGGCTCTTTGAGAGAGGTGGCAGTTCGTCTACGCTTGGTTGGGTAACAGTCATCACCGCCTCATCTTGCGCCACAGTTGCTGGTTGGAATTCCTCCGCATCTTCGTGTACTGCAGCTGCCTGGGTAGAGACGAGAACAGGCGATGATGGGCTTGACGAACTCACAGTGTCAGGTTGGGGGTTCCCTTCTCTCGCCAAGTTTAGCTCATGATTGGCGAGCGCTGGAGGTGCCAGACTGGCGACCGGAGTCAGGGAAGCTGAGTCAGGAAGAGGAGGTGAGATCGATTGGACGTCGTTGTCGTCCACTGGTGTAGGGGACGCTTCCTGGAGCTCCGGGAGCACATCCGAAGAGATTAGCTGTAGCTCCGGGAGAGGGGCTGAGGTCGCCAAGTCCTCATCGACAGAGGCGTCGGTCACAGGGGGTTGAGTCTCCAGGACAGGAGAGGCAGGGTTGCTGGCGGAGACAAAGGGCACCCTCTCGAGGTCAGCATCAGGCACCTGGTGGGAGTCTGCAGGCTCAGCTTGCACGATTGGTGACTCGGGTACGCTCTCGGGGAGAGGCGGCAGCGAGGATAGGTCTAGAGGAGTGTAAGTGGAAGCGATTGGGTCGGCCGACCCGGTGGCAGGAATGTTGTCCGGAGGAGAAGGCGGCTGGTCAGCTTCCGCGTCGGTCGCAGGAGCCTCAGTCAGGACAAGATCGAGCTTGGGGTCTGGGAGAAGAGGGAGCTGCTCAATCTGACTGTCACCTGAAGAAAACACCCGCAGCGCTGGGGACGCAGGCTTACTGTCAGCAACCGCAGGAAGCTGCTCAGTCTCAGCCGCGGCCTCAGCCTCAACAACTGGGACCTCCTTCAGCACAGGCGACAGCGGCTTGTTCTGGGGTAGCTGCTCAAGGTCTCCTTCAGCAGAGATATCCTTCACTTCGGGGACCTCAACGGACAGTTCCTTCTCAACAGCCTGCTGGATCTGTGCCTGCTCAACCGCCAGCGCAGCCAATGATTCAGGCCGACTCTCTGGGAGAGGGGAAAGGGATCCCTGAACCTTTTCTGCAGGAATGTTGACGGGTACCGCCGACACCTGCTCGAATGATGGCTCCTCGGCAATGATGACACTCTTGCAGACGGGCTCAGGTGAGTCAGGAAGTGTGTTGGGCGCAGAAGGGACATCTTCCGGCTTGGGTTGCTCGCTGGCCTGGATTTGGTCATCATCGACGGGCTCAATGGATACAGCGAGATGCAGCGAGTCAGGGTCCTGCTGTGACTTGGGGAGGGCTGAAAGCTCAGCAGGAGTCGCGAGTGACGGCTCAAGCACAGGAAGTGTGGGCTTGCTCTCAGGCAGCGGCTGGAGCTGCGCCAGTGCTTCGTCAGCCGGAAGTTGAGGAGCATGAGCGGCCTCGACCTGCAAAGAAGGGGAAGTCGGCTTAGGTCCCGAAAACTGAGGAAGAACTCTGGCCTCTTCTTCACCCTTCGTCTGAACCGGGACAGGCAGCACGGAATCCTTGGCAGCAATGGTCGAAGACTCAGGCCGGATCTCATGGAGAGGAGAGAGAGCAGCCAAGTCGGCGGCTGGCAAGGCAAAGAAAGCAATCTCCGGGGACAGGACTGGCAGGACCGGCTCTGTTGTTCGGAGCGGCGGCAGCGTCTTGGTGGCTTCTGCCTCGCTCGACTGGGCAAGAACAGAAGATCCAGCCTCAATGACTGCAGGCTCCGGAGGGCTCTGAGGAAGGAAAGACAACGATTTGACATCAACCACTGGCTGGACAAAGGTGACCGGCTCGTCCTTGACAATTGATGATTCCGGAAGGGCCTCGGAGCTCGGGGGTAGGCACTTGGCCTCCTCATCTGCAGCCGGCGCAGAGACAGGCATGGAGTCGTCAGTCGAAACAATTAGAGACTTGGAGAGAGTCTCGGGGACAGTAGACTGATTCTGCGTCTCCTCGCCCATGACCTGAGCAGGAACCGAAGTGGTGGCCTCGGCCACAGCCACTGGAGACTGTGGACGACTCTCTGGAAGTGGAGGGAGCTCCTGGATCTCCTCAACCATTAGATGAGGAGGAAGAGAATCCACAGCCTTGATCTCGGCAACGGGAGTCTCCGGCCGGCTCTCAGGCAAGGGCGGAAGGCTCGCCAAGTCCACCACCTCTTTCTGCTCTTCCGTCACTTGCCCAGGAACAGCCTCCACACTGGTTGTCGGCATCATAAAAGGCGCGAATGACTCCGAGTCCTTGACCAGGCCCTCTAACTCTTGGCTTGGCACTTCGCGCTCGTCCGTCGACTGCAGCGTTGCCTTTTCCAAGCTGGGCGTCTCGAGAGTCTCAGAGGGCGGGGCTTCCCTCGTTAGGATTGGGTCAACCTCGAATGTTTCCGGCAGCCTTGGCTGAACCAATACATCCTGCCTGACTTCCGGCTGCTCATCCTGGACGACCACGAGCGCCTCGCGTCCCGAGCCAGAACTTATTCCAGCAGCCTTGCCCTCGCCCTCCGACTGCACCTGACGTACCTGTCCTTTCGCTTCATCGATTGAAGGAGCTGAAAAAGAAGCGGACAGAGGGAGAGACTGATTTGCGATAACGGGGATCTGAGCTGAAGGGACAGTACTGCTCAGGGATTTAGGGAGAGAAGGTTCGATAGCGCGCGGTTGGTCTTCGACGATGCTTGTCTGGGGAGAGGGGAGTTCAGGAGGGTTGGGGGCTGAAAAGAGGGCTGGAGGGTTGAGATCTTCGTCGTCCGAGTCCGGGAGGGGAGGGAGCGGCTCGTCAGTGGTTGTCTTTGTTGTCACAGCTGGAAAGGAATAGGAGCCCTCTTCACGACCGCTGGGGCCGGGGCGAGGCTCGGTCGCCGAGAGGAGCGAACGCGTGAATCGAGACTCGATCGGAGGATTGAGGTCACGCTGCTGGAAGACCTCGGTGATGCTGACATCGACGACCGGCCGGCTGGGGCTCACACTACGCCGGACGAGAAAGGGAAAGCGAGTTTCTTTGGAAGGCTCAGCACGAAAGGCCTCTTCTGCCGCAGGCTGCACATGGGATTTGTCCTCGGTGGCCAGGACAATCTCAGGGTTGGTGGCATTTAGGCGAGTGACAGAGATGTCTCCCGCACGATAGCTGGCGCCTGCGCCAAAGGCGCCGGCATTACCTAAAAAAGAATGCTCGCTGTCGTCGGCCGTGGTGGTTTGGGGGACGGATGCGGTTGAGGTTGAGGGATGCTCCTGGGGCTTCGCCGGGCCGTTACCTGGGCTCGGAGCAACAGCGACCATGACGTCCTCGCCCTCCTGCGTGGTAGCTGTCGTCAGGTCAGAAGCCTCGCGCTCCATCAGTTGAAACGACTCTTCTCGCTTTGGTGGATCGGGAGGTTCAGGTCGTCGTAATATGCCATAGGCAACGTCCACGATGCTCCGCTTCTTGCCAAACTTGCTGAACAGATCGCCTGATATCGTAACCTGCTCGTTCTCTGCCTGGGGTGTGTTCTCCGTCTCCTTAGGCACCTTCGTACTCTCCTCCAAGTCTCCCTCGACAGCAACGTCAACCACTGCCCTTGTCACGTCGCCTATCCTGGAAGATAAGTCCGGGATGTCCTGCTTACTCGTGTCGACCTTCTTCTCAGCCTCAGTCTCCGTCCTAGCCTCGGTTGCCACCCTCTCCTGATCAGCAACAGGTCCTGGCTGGTTTACTAGTTCGCTCCGCTCTTCCAGACTACCCGATGCCCTGCGAGGTAAAGGCTTCAGATCGAGGTCGTTGGCGGTCTCAATAGATAACGGCACGTCGGGCAGAGGCCCGCTCGTACCCAGAGGGGATTCGCGGCGGTGATAGGATGGGTCATTGATCACGATATTGGGATCGAATCCCGCGCTCTGCAGGCCGGCAGCCAGAGTGGCAGCGAACTCGAAGTCATCCTTGCTGGACTCGGTTGTCTGAGCAGGATGCGGGCTGGGGGGCTTTGGTCCAATGATAGGAGGGACGTCTTCGAGATCCTGCGACGAGCCTGTTCCCCGAAGAATCGGAGAAGACGGGAGAGGGGAAACGGGGTCTAGTTCGGGAGATGTCAACGGCTCGCGGGACTTCACCTGCGGGGGCTCTGGCTCAGGCCTCGTGCCTTGCGGAGGGGTAACCTCAGGGGCCGGAGAAGAGGGCGCAGGAGCAGGCGTTGGCGCGTCAACGCTCACAGACTGTGCATTGATGCTGGCGGCAGCCTGATACTGAGATTGAGACTGAGACCTTGCAACCAACCGGTCCAGAACGCTAATCATCTTTGGCTGTGGTGCGGGAGTCGGCTTGGGCTGGGCGAGCTTCGCGAGCACACTCCGGATCTTTTCCTGTGACGCTGGGTCGATTGCTTTATCCTTGCTCTTGTCATCAGAAGAAGTGGCCTCGATCATCATGGGGGCAGCGGGCTCTCCCTCAGCAGCAGTTTGCTTCTCCTTCCCCTTGCCGGAACCGACCAGTGCTGCGGTGAGGAGATTGTTCCATTTGCTCTTGGAGCCAAATCGAAATCTCACAGGCCGCTCCTGGGACGAATCGCGACTGTCCGTCTCAACAGCACGCCCGGTACCAAAGTCATCAGGGACCTCAATCGCCTCGCCGCGGGCAGTGAGGATCATCCTGGGCTTGCGCTCTGGTGTCTTGCGCTCTGGTGACTTTGGCTCAGGAGATGAGGCCGTCGCCGGCTCATCGTCCTCGGCGGCCACTACAGCCGCATGCTTGGCCTTCATTTTCTCCAGCTCGGGCGACGTCCGTGGCGTGGGTAGGACGAGGTTGAGCATGGGTCGCTCGCGCTCGGCAGAGGGGTCCCTCGATTTGAAGATGGGTATCATGCCAGGGAAAACGCCCGGAGCGTTGGAACGCGGGGTGAGGAACTTGGAGAGGTCGTGAGGGAAGATGATGTTGTCGATGCGGACGTCGGCGTTCGGAGCATCATACTTGCCCCTGGGAAGCGGGCGCGTCATCTCGGGCGGCGTTACGATGCGGATGATGGGTTCGTCTATCGACGGCTCCGAATACTTGTCGACGAGCGAGGGCGCTGGCGAGCTGCTGCGTGAGCGCCACTCTTCCTGCTCCAGCTTTTCGCGGAGCTTGCGCTCGCGATAGACGCGATTGGCCTCCTCCTGGATGGGGTCCCGCACCGGCTCTGCTTCACGGGTCCTGGTGCGAGATCGGGACCGAGACTGCGAACGTGTCCGCTGTTCTTGCGCATCGACCATCAGCGTGGACCTGTTCGCATCGACGGCGGCCCGAGACTCGCGCTGTTCGATCTCGAAGGTATCACGGCGACTGAGCCGGGGGAACTCTTCAACCGGCGAAAGCTCCTCGTCATCCCATGGAGGCTTCACTGTGACAATTTGAGGGGTGATAGCCCTGGATGGAGGACTGGGAGAACTCTCGCGTTTGGGAGTCGAAGAGGCGTCATCAGGGACCTGGAACTGGAAGGGTTCGGTCGGGGGCTTGGGAGCCTCGGCGGGAGGTTGGGGAACGTTGTCAACGGGCTCAGGGGGTTCGACCGTAGGCAATGTCAGGTCGATGGTAGACTTGCGAGGGCCAATTTCAGCTGCGGGCAGGGAGAGGTCAGTGGTAGACTTCCTCGGATCGACCTCAGGATTCAACGGCTCGACCAGAGGCTCAGGCGCACTGCTCGACGGATCAGGCGCAGGCTCGGCTGCAGCGGGGTCCAGGCCGGCCTTCAGAGCAGCACGCTTTTTCTTTTCAAGTTCTATCTGAGCCTGGATGTCAGCGAGCATACGACGCCTCTCTTCGCGCTGAGCGCGTCGCTCCTCACGGCTTAACTTCTTAGGCTTCAGCTCGAGAGAGTCCGACTTGTCAGCCTCCGGCGCCTTCTCCTTATCAACCTCGGGCTTGGCTTCGCGCTCGTGAACAATGACAACGGACTCCTTGGCCTTGTCACGACGGCGACTACTCTCCCTACTCGCCTTATCTTCACGCTTTTCGCTCTGCTCGCTTGGTGCCCGGCGCTTCTCTTCCCGTTTTTCCTCGCGCTCACGCTTCTCGGACTCTTCCCTGGCGCGCTGGCTTCGTTCGGCACGTAAGAGGGCCTCTTGAGATCGGCGCTCCTCCTTGTATCGACGCTCACGCTCAAAGCGAGTAATACGCTCGAGTTGGTCCCGGAGCTTTTCTTTCCGTTCCCGTTCCTCTTCCTCACGACGCTGACGCTCGCGCTCCTCTTCTTCCCGACGCCGACGCTCTTCTTCCTCACGACGCAGTCGTTCGCGCTCCTCTTCTTCACGACGCCGGCGCTCTTCCTCTTCACGACGTAGCCGTTCACGCTCTTCTTCTTCGCGACACCGACGCTCCTTTTCTTCCTGCTCGCGACGGCGAAGCTCCTCTTCCTCTCGACGGCGACGTTCTCTTTCTTCCTCTTCCCGGCGTTTACGTTCCTTTTCCTCTTCCTCGCGACGCTGACGTTCTTTTTCCTCTTCTTCACGCCGGCGACGTTCTTCTTCTTCTTCACGACGTTGGCGCTCCCTCTCTTCTTCTTCACGAAGTCGACGCTGCCTTTCCTCTTCTTCACGACGTCGGCGCTCCTTTTCTTCCTGCTCTCGAAGAAGACGAAGCCTCTCTTCTTCCTCACGGCGTCTGCGTTCCTCCTGCTCGCGACGACGAAGCTCTTCTTGGCGGCGGAACTCTTCTTCGCGACGCTGGCGCTCCCTTTCTTCCTCTTCGCGACGTTGCCGTTCCCGCTCTTCCTGTTCACGACGGCGCAGCTCCTCTTCACGGCGCAGGCGTTCCTCTTCTTCACGACGCCGGCGTTCCCTCTCTTCCTCTTCACGGCGTTGCCGTTCCCGCTCTTGCTGTTCACGGCGGCGCAGCTCCTCTTCACGACGCAGGCGCTCCTCTTCCTCGCGACGCCGGCACTCGCGTTCTTCTTGCTCGCCAAGAAGGCGGCGTCGCTGCTCTTCTTCTTCCCGGCGTCGACGCTCTTGCTCCTCGCGGTAGCTATGGGATTCACTGTCGCGGCGCGTCTTCACAACCGTCTTAACTACCTCTTTCTCCTCGTGCTTGATATAAGACCGGCGTTCTTCCTCATAGCGCTTCTCTGTACGTCTCTCAGAGACGCGCTCGCCAGCTCTCCAGTCGTGATACCGCTCCTCTCGTCTTTTCTCCTTCTCCTTGCCCTTTGATGCGGCAACAGCACCAGCAACGACGGCGGCGGCGGCGGCAGCACCCAACAAAGCCTTGTGGGCCGAATCGGAGTCATCGGAGCTGTCAGAGCTCTCGGAGCCGTCCGAATCATGACGCTTCTTCTTGGAGAGTCCGGGGCTGCCATGCTCAATCACCTGATGGTGCTGTTGCTCCAGCTTTTGTGGAGAGATAGGAAACCTGGGCTTGGGAGCCTGGATTGGAATGGGCTCGGAGTGGGGGGTATGCGGATGAGTGGTTTCTTTCTCATTTTCCCTGGTTGACGGGGGCAGTGCCGGGACGAGAGCAGGAGTGGTCTCGAAAGGCGAGGCGTCGGAAGTCTGGACGGGGAAGACGGGTCTCATATGCGGCCTGGACGCCTCGATGGAAGCACTCTCGGGAGGTTGAGGAGGGGTTATAGGCTTCGGTTGGCTGCTGGACTGATCATGATAGTGGGCTGAGTACGCGCTATGGTGATGATGATAGCTGTAGGAAACGTGTGAATGAGAACGTTGAGGAGGGGACATAGGAAGAGGGAGATCCTGATCAGAGAAGCGGGGCATAGGACCATAGGCAAGGGCAGAGTCCGTATCCCCAGAAGAGGAATCAAAATCGGATTCAGAATCTGAGGCCGATTCCCAGTCCGAGTCCGAGTCCGAATCAGAAGAAGACGAAGAATCCCTCGTCTTTTGCTTGGATGGTACGAGCCCGCGGGATGAGCTGGCCTGGGCGTGTGCTTTGTGACGCTGGAGCTCAACCAGGGCCGTCGCAATGCCGGCTACACGAGAAGGGCGCTTCTTGCCGGCACGTTTGAGGTCCTCCTTGTTTTTGTTGCGAGCAATCTCAGCCAACTTGCGACCAACCTCCAGGATCTCTTCATCCGTCGGGCTATTGGCGGACGGCCGTTCATCGGAACCAGGGGGGGGTCCTTGTAGAGGATATGACTGGGGAGGGACATGATGAGGGGGAAGATATTGCTGTGACGGAGACTGGTATGGCTGCGCTGGCGGAGGATACTGCTGTGGCGGGGCAGGTTGTCCTGACGGCACGGGGGAGCTATAATAGGAGTATGGGGGATAAGGATATTGAGGATATTGGGTATATTGGGGGCCAGGATGGGGCTGAGGAGGCGGATAGACATGAGGAGAATGCTGTGGAGGGGGAAGAGGCTGAGGATAGACCTGGGGTGACTGATGCTGTTGATAATGCGGGTAATACGGGAGGTAGTGCTGCTGGTGCTGCTGTGGGTGCTGCTGCAGCTGGAGCTGGAGCTGGAGCTGGAGCTGAACACGCTCTTCTTCTTCCCGCTCGAAGGAGGACCTCGACACGTAACCGGCACCATAGGCCAAGTCGCTGTCGACCGACGAAGACGAGCGGTTCTTACGCCGAAACGAGCGGCGCTTCTTGACCTTCTTCTTGGCCGATGACGAGGCAAAGAAGGTTCGCAGACCAAAGCGACCCCTGCGCGAGATGTTGAGCAGCGAGGAGGAGGTAGAGGAGGAAGAGGGGCTGGAGGAGGATGAAGAAGACGAGGAGGACGAGGAGGAGCTCGAGACGGTACGCAGGCGACGCGGCTGCTGTTGCTGCTGCTGCTGCTGCTGCTGGGGGGGAGCGTCATGGGAACGCGATGACACGGGCCGAGGAGGCGTGGCGACGGCGGCCGAGGGGGATCCGGCAGTGGCAGAGGCAGCGGCAGAGGCTGACGCCGACAGTACAGCCGAGGCCGAGGCGACGGCTACAGTGGCGGCGGCGGCGGTAAGCTGCTCCCGGGAATGCCGGCGCTCGGCACGTCGCCGTTTGGCGCTCTCCGGGCTCCGGCGACGGGGAGGCGGGGGAGAACGCATCGTGACCGTGACAGTGACGGCGGGGCGCGACAGAGGGAACAAGGAATAAGGAACAAAGACAGTGTTCCAGCTCGGTTATGGCCCGCTCATGGACGATGCTATCTGTGTATGGTCTCTCGATCGTTTTGGGGCTGAGGGGAGGGGTGTTAAGGTGTGCGGTGTGCGTTGTTCGTCTGATATCCTGTTTTTGTCGTCGTCTCGTCTCTCTCGGCGCGAACACGATCGACGATGTCTGCAACGGATGTGATAGTCTTCTGGTGGTTTGGGTATCCGTAGCTCAAGCCTTCGAGCTGGGTATGGTTAGGGTATCGCTTCGCGCTGGTGGGCCGAGTCAACAAACCTCGGTCTCAATCGCAAAAAGGCGATGGCGGTGAAGGAATACGGGAGCTTAAGCACCGACTTTAGATATTTGTTTGATTTTTCAGGTCTCACAGACGGGAGACGTGAATATGAACTGTCGGGCCTTGGCCTCGACAAGATCGCAGAGACAGCGGCAACTGTGACAGCAGAAACAAGAGACAGCAACAGAATAGATTTGAAAACAAACACACAAGACAAGACAAGACAGACAGTGAGGGATAGAACTGATTACAGGTCAAAAAGATGGTTGGTTGGCTAGACTGGCTGGTTGCAGGAGAGTTTGGGATTTCACAGGTCCCCTCCCTTCACTCTCCAGTGTCCTGCTGCTGGTTGCTGCTCGTTCTCGCTGTGAGTGGCTGTTTGTTGACGCTGCCGCCGTTTGGTTCGCTCGGTTTGACCCGTGTCACTCAAGCCCAGCCCTCTCTTTGCTCTCGGCTCTTTGACACTACAGGTCGTTGCTTGGCTCTCAAACTAGAAACACTCGCGCGGGTCTCGGTGGGTTGGAGCTGGGCTGGAGCTGGAGCTGTCGTCGGGCTGGCCAACCAGTGCCAAGGAAGCTTCCATCCCTCCCTCCCTCCATCCAAGTCAAAGGCCCATAGGTCCACAGCCCCACTTTCCATCAACCATGAACCCCCTCTGTCTGCCTGCGTGGGCCTACATGGGCCTGCGTCGTCTTGCCCTGCGCTGGCACTGTTCCAGGCCGCTGCGTATGCAATTGCAGGGTTCCGGATAAGACGGCTTGGCGCCCAGAACCACTCTCTCCAGCCATTCACCCTCCCCTCCTCGCTCCTGGGCCCCATCGTGACACCCAGATCCAGGCGAAAATCGGACCCACTTTCATCTCAGCAGCAGCTGACCCTGCAAACCCCAGCCTCCCAGCTCGAAGCAGCCACTCACATCTCATCCGAACTGCAGCATGCCCCCACTTACCGGCCCGAGCCAGATGACACACCTCAGCTGCCCACAAGCCACACCTGCCACTGATTGGCCGGCCCACCGATCACTGCCAACCCTCCTTCAGGCTTCGAGCTGCCAACCCTGCCCAAGCCAAAAAAAAAAAAAAAAAAGGTACTGTGTTCTCCTCGTCCAAAGTTTCTCGTTTTCAACCCTCCCATCACAACCCTAAAGTCCCAACATATGCGCCCAGTGCTTTCTACTTACAAGCTGATGCATCCACCCCATCATCCTGCCCTTATGATCTTGCTGATACAGGTTATCTGCGGTGTTCAACTTCGGTAGACGCCGGACGCAGCTACACCTCACCGCCCGAACCCCGGCTTTTTTGCAGATCCCCTTCCCCGTTATCAATCTCTGCTCGGTGAAGCGTGCTTCCTTTCATCGTTCCGAGTCCCTCGTTGACGCAATATGCACACTATAATCCCCCATCCCCTGTCTTTCGACGGTGCGACCTCCCATCATGAGACTTGCACTTCCCAAGCAGCCGAGTTTCTGCCATATTACCCACGGGTTGCACAGCTTGGATGCCAGAGCCCACTACTCGCTGAGTCTGACCTTTGTCCAACTCTACGTTTCAGTGGCAACAGGACTCGCGCAGCCCAGGCCTTGAGGCCGCTTGCCCACCTTATCACAGTCCTCTCTCCGTCTTGTCCTGCCAACAAGTGTTCGCCTCGTCTCCCTGCTTTAGCCGCCGCTGAATCCGGTTTTTCTGTTGGCCCACGGGAGAAAGCCAGCTCGCTGATGCCGTGCATGATATGCATCGGGTCCTGCTGCTGCAGACAACAAATCACATCCACTCCCGTCTGCTGCATGGCTGACGCTGGAATACGGCTTTCCTTCCGAATCCTCTCGTTGCGTCCTTCTGCTGTGGGATGTGGAATGTGCTCCTCCTCGCATGAGAACTGCTAGTGCACCCAAACAAAAATGATTGGGTTGACGACCAACAGCCAAACTCGAGGCCAAGCCATATATTAGTACCACATCCCATGCAATCATAGGTGCTACAGAGATCCAAAGTGCCGAGCCGTCTTCTGGTTGGTGACGGTTTAAGGCTTCATAATGATGCGAGGCCGCCAACACGCCGGAGTGGAATTTTTTTTTTTGTTGTCCATCTTCCACATAAATGAAGCCAAGAACACTTTTAGCCTTGGTTGTAACAACCTCGAATCCAACAAAGTAAGATCTGAACTTCTTAGAGCAGTAGAATAACGGGAAAAAAAAACTAGGCTGAAGCGCTCTAGCAACCTGACAACCTGACGAGTTTCTGTTCCTATTCAAATCATGGATGGTCTAATGTCTTCAACTTCTACGCTAACTTTGAGCTTTGTGCTCAATTTGATTTAAAAAAACCATATATAAAATATACCATATCTACAAGACCATCTCGCACAACAAATGTCGAAACCGAAGGTCAGACAGCTGTAAAGGTCGAGTTGATGGCCCCAACCTTGATATTGGAAAAGATAACATAGGCATCCGGATGCTCCTTCTCGACCGTGGCTGGGACCCCCGCACTGGGATCGCAGCGACCACGCACAACACCAGGCTTGTTCGGATCTGCATCAAGCGGCCAAGTGCTGTCGAGCCAGTTCATGTGAGCAGCACTGATGAGGGGTGTTGAACGTCAGCTAAGCCCAATCTGATCAAAGGGAGAGTAGGTGGTGATGGAAAGGGAGGGGGAGTGCGCATACTGGTCATCCCAGATGCTCAATACAAGCACCATCTTCTTGAGTGACTCGCCCATGGCTGCCATGCCGCCCAGCGTCTTGAAGTAGTTGTTGTCCCCAAACGCTGTCTTCTGCTGTTCACAGAAGCTATCGGAGATGTAGTTGACCGGGTCGACCCCCTCGATTACCACCTCTGAGTTGGGGATGACCTTGCTGTCTTGAACATAAAACCGGTGGATGCTCTTAAGCGTGCCTGCATCGGTGCCGTCGTCTGTGATGAACTGCGTCACGATCGTGAACGGCCGTGAAGTGTCGACAGTCTTGGCCGGCCCGTAGAAGTCGCGGTTGCCCAGTCGGAAGCTGTTAAAGTCGCAGCCATCTTGATCATGTTAGTCGAGCCTCCTTCTCATGATTCTCCTCCCGGGAGGTGAGAGCGGACGCTCTCCTCGAGGTTTATTGCTCACCTTTGTCACACAGACCGGCATATCTCTCGCTGCCGGCACCGCAGTCGGTTCCCTCACAACGAGTCTGCTCAAAGACTTTGCACGGATGTGGTGTGTAAGCTGTGGCATCGGAGTTCGCTTCCCAGATGTCCATCTCAGCGCAGCATGTGCCATACTTCCCCGTGCCAGATGTTCCGTCAGTCCCTCCCCAGCCTTCGACGTTCGCCTATGGAATGAGAGAGAAAATTGTGCTTAGTTCCTTCTTTGATCTCCATTCAATCTTGCTCTTGCCTCAGGTCACTCACCTCACCGTTGATAAACTTGATGTCCTGCGGGCACTGAGAGTCACAGTACCCCGTCCCGTACTTTGCCCCAGCTTTATTGCCCTGGAACCTGCCCATCCCACCGTCCTCGTCCATCTCGCTAAAGTAGACTGCGCCATTGATTCCACAAGGAAGCCTGGACACGTCCACGTCCAGCGTGAACTCCTTATTCAGGAGGTTGAACAGTCTATACTTGTCGTCGCTGGCTAAGAGATACACACGAGAGCCCACGTTGGTACCATACTGGTGCTTCGTGACGAAGTTCAAGCGTAGTGCGCCTGGAGAAGGTGTGGAAATACCATATGTCCCTTCGTAGTCGGCACCATCGATGGCACAGTTCGCAGCACATGTCTTGCCATCCGGACAGGCTGTAGCATTCCAGGAGTTACCGGAGTAGCAGTCAGTGTAGCCATTGACGATGTGAGTCCAACGCCAGTTGGCCTGGAGCAAATGATTAGCACACAGGGGTCAACGTGTAGCAATCTAGCAATTAGGTGCCATCATACATCAAGGACGACCGAAGTCTGCTCTTTGACGCAAGAGTCCGGTGCTGTACAAACCTCGATTGGCAGCGAAGGGTGTCGTTCGGGACTTTCGGTCCCTGCTTGCTGGCCCAGCGCTAAGCTGACCAACGAGAGAGTGGTCAAGTAACGGTACATGGCGACAGAGTAGTGGAATATAACAACAGGGGCAGAGAACAAAGGCAACTCGGTAGGCTTGGATATCATCCTCTTCTTCCCTTTTTTTTTTTTCCATCAGCACCGTGAAGTCCCGCCTCTTTATACATCTTCGAGGCCAGAGTTCCTCAGAGTAACTATCATCCTCGTCATCACGGAGCAATCCCCAAAGAATCCAAATTCGGTCTTCAATGTGCATCGTCCGGCTTTTCCTCTCCTTTTCTCTTTCAATCCACCCGCTCCTCCATCTTTCAGCATGACGGTCTTGATGCATTCCTAATCCAGCACAATCACATGCCGTCATCGCTTGCGGCTCAGGCAGTGATATCTCCGGAACCCAACTATATCGGGTCCCAGGAAGAAGATCTCCGCTCTCCAAGATCTCCTTGCGGCCTTAGTGGATCATGTCTCCGATCCGTCAGCAGCTAACAGCATTTGTTTACCAAACAACACCTCTAGTCGAAGTACTGCCGATCGTTATCCGCGCCAACGACGTTGCCCATTGGCGCATAAGGGCAATGGCATTGCGGCTATGTTGCCGTTGCCTGGACTGGAAGAATATGCGGCTGTTTAATCCTCCCGTCTTTGGCCTTTTAACCCCGTACCGTCTCGGTTTCAAATTGACATCCTACCAAGGTTTACTCTTCCCGTATTTGGAACCTCTGGTGCCAATAATCATAACGGTTAAGCGCAACCTTATGTTTGGTCCTCAACGACACTATTGTGGGGTGAGATTGGCCGGCTGATTTTCGGTACCTCACCCTCCCAGGGGTAGCTTTTTCTCCATTTCCCCTTGGTGTCTCAGTTTTAGGATGTATCTTCGACGTTCCCGAGTTATTGAAAAAAGGCACATAAGTTAACCTCAGAGCTCTATACTGCGTCAGAGAAAGAAATTTTTGTGGTCAAAGTTAGTAAGAGAACGGCTTTGTCTCTGGTGTCGTACAATGTTCCCCACCATAATGCTATGTAAAAACGGTTTCTTATCCCAATTGAAACCCATGAATCAGCCCTCAACTTGCGGCATTATGTTTGGTATACATTTTTAGATATCTATCTATGCTATGATTGAGACCTCAGATTTGGTTCAGATCGACAAGTACTAAACCGGCTGGCTGCACTGTTCCTCAGGAGGGCCTTTGGGGGGTAGGGGTGCCATGGGCAACCGTAAGCACAACCCTAACCCTGATTTCTATCCAACATAGTGGGTTCTCTGGAAAAAGGCAACTCTCGGCTATCTATGATGGTTTTTCTTGTCGATCTGGTTCAGAAACTTGAGGTGTTCCTCATCGAGGCATTCGTGTTATCTATTTTGTTCTCAATTTTCCAAATTCATCTCTCATTTTGCTCTGCAGGAACGTGTTATCAACCGTGGGCTTTGGTGGAGCAGTTTTTCCCTGCGTTGCGTCACATTCCGAAAGTCGCATTCACACTTTGATGGTTGCTCTCCTTCATTTCGCCCATCGACAATAGGTCCCAACAAACCTCAACGTCGCCTATCAATCCGCCCAACACCATATAGCTCAGCACAGGACGCCATGGCTGTGCCTCTCAAAACAACTCCGCAAATCCGGGCCCTGGCACCTGAGCCGCCTGCTACCGTCTGCGTGCAGAACCTGCATCTGACGCTGACGCACGCGGGACATGATGCTTGGGGTCGCGCAGGCAAGTCTCAGCCGTGCACTATCTCGGTTGAAGTGGGTTTTGCGGAGCGTTTCTCTACGGCCGCCGCGTCAGATCGGCTGGGAGAGGACACGGTGCACTACGGGACGCTGAGCAAAGTTGTGTTAGGGAGCGTGGCGCGATTTGAGGAAGGGAGTAGGCAGCATGCCTTAGGGCAGGGAGAACGCGGGCTGATGCACGTGTTGGAACATGTTTGGCGAGACTTGACGGGACTCAAGTTGGACGGAACTGAGGTGAAGGTTGCTGGGGAAACGCCATTGATCGATATTGCTAAGGTCCAATTTTTGTCACTAACTGTAGGGCTACCTAAAGCATCGCTCTTGGGCGACGGAGTGGCGCTTAGAGCCAGCGCAGTCGTGGATCCCTCGTTACGGAGAGTCTCTGCGAGGGCGTTGGCTCTCGAAATCACCCGGCTCAAGGTGCCAACCCTTATCGGTGTGAACGCGAATGAGAGGTTGGCCAAGCAGTTTGTTGTGGTAACAGTTACTATTGAGAAATTTGACCAGTCGGAGGATATTTACCCTGGGGTAGAGGCTGCTGTGGTCAAGGTCAGTTTTGGCTCTTACCTCGACGGAGAACGACTATGGGGGTGCTGACAGAATCTAGGCTCTAGAAGAGTCGTCCTTTGAGACACTTGAGGCTCTGGGAGCCTACTTAGCTGAAAAAGTTCTCTCATCCCCAACTAGTGAAGAGGATTGGCTGGTCCATATCAAGATGGAAAAACCTACGGCAGTGTCCATGGCGGATTGTCCCATTGTAGAGGTTCGCGCTACGCGAGAATCTTTGCAAAAAGTGGAGGCGGCTGGCGTCCAGTGAATCGAATATCGCAAGCATCAGATGTCTATTTGCCAATTGAGAGCATGAGGAGACTCTGCACCGTGATAGAGCACGGGAAGGTAGATCAGTTTCACCACTCTTCCCGCTCGCAAAGCGGAACGTCACCATTGGTAACATCCCTAACGAACTCTGGATCGGGGTCGTACAACATGACATGGAAATGCTCAACAGTCTTGACCGACTTGAGCCACATCCAGTTTTTGAACCAGACAACCTACCGTCCGTTAGCACACTCACAAGCATACCTATGGCCAGGCCTAGCTTCATCTAACCGGGATACTCTCCCAGAGAACGAAGACGGAAGAAAGGCGATACCTACGCGATCTTTTCCAACCCTTTCCACAAACACTTTGTTCACCCAGGCGTCGACCTGTGCCCTCGCCTGATCCGTCAAGTCTTCGGTCTTCGGGTCCTCCTCCAGTGGAAACTTTGTCCACACCACCAGATGCACAATTTTGGGATCCACCCCATAAGGCCAGTCGTTTCTCAGCACTTTGAAATCAGACTCATCCTCAAACGGCCCCTTGCCACGGGCCACAACCGGCTCCCTCCATCCGAGCCGTTTCTCCAGCACGTACCGCATTACGCTTCCATACTCCTTGCGCAACCTCCAAGTAAAGGCCAGGTACCGACGCAGCTCGGACGGCACGCGCTGGAAGCGGTCCAGCTGGTTGCGGCGTACACGCTCCCGGACGTCCTCCCATGTGTCCAGCCGGTAGGAGCTGTCTGGGGTGCTGAGGATGCCCCGATCTTTGGGGGATACGTCACGGAGGAAGTCAGGGCAGGTTTCAGTCCGTAGATGCGGCGGTACGTTGACTTGCCAGTAGGGAAGCTTCTCTTCCTTTTCCGATGATGGGGGAGGGGTTGAGGTTTGGTGGTTTTGCGGCTTTTGTTCCGGGGAATTTGTTGTTGCTGTCATTATGGCCACTTGTTTTCGTAATTCGATAAATGAATGTTGGTTTGATGTCGGACGTCGTTAGGTGGGCTGTGGAGGTTATGCGGTGGTATTGCTTGGGCTGTTGACTGTTGATGCGAAACAGGGAAATCAATGCTTGACAATCCCGCCTGACTCTTCAGCCTGCTGATAGGGTGCCACTTTTCAGTGAAAAGTCGGATTTTGAAAAAGTTAAGCTGGTTTAAAAAAGGATTGTTACGGTTGCTCTGCGACACCGCATCTTCGCTGGGCTCTGGGTCTACCCGGCCCCTGCCCCAGGCCGGACAACTCAGCCTGGCGGAGCAAGACCCGGAGATCGCAAAAACGGTGGTTTGTACGGAGCCATACGTAAAACGGAGAAAAAAAACTCGGTGGCGTTCCCCATGTGGCGGTGCGCCAGGATCATTCATGACCATCAAAGGCAGGGGGTGGCTTGACAGCGTTGGCTCCCTACTTGAATGGCATTTAACCTTTTTACTCTCAGTCTCACAGCTTCATATAAAACTTATTTTTCTTTTTTCTTTTTTTTTTGATATTAAGCAAGACAAAAAATAATATCAAACAAAATTTTAGCAGTATATATGGATAACATATCATACCTAGGCAACAATCAACGATCGGATAGCACTTGGAGGCTTTGATATCCCTCCGGAATATCCAACCAGCTCAGGACTTTCTTCTAACATTAGATCCCACTTTTCACATGCGCACTATGTCTCCCCATTCAGTCTTGAGGTCGCATTGAAATGTTTTTCACCGCTTGAAAAGTGAAATGTCAGATGTAAATTGCCCATAGGATGCTGCCGTGGTCAACGGGTTCAAGATAGTCTTGCTCCCCTGAGCGTGAAACTCACATTCTCGTAAGTTGCCATCGCTAGAGAAGTGTATTTACATATTGCATAGTGATCGAATGTAAGATCATTCTGAGGGGGCGGAAAGGAAGGGTACGTACTCTAAGCCAAAGTGTTAAAAGTTTGTACAACAAGAACGTATTGATCCCACTTATTGGAGTCTGATACCAGGACCAGCATAATTTGTCGTAAGCTTGGAACTCTGGAAGGCATGCACAGTAATTTCAGGAGCCAAAGAGTGTCAATACTGAGAATGTAAAGTAAGCTGACATAGCTAAAGTGATGCAGAGCCATGTCCTTACGGATTCAGACAGCTTAATAACAGAAGGCCACTCCTAGTATATCTTATAGATACGCAGTTTCGGAGCCCTCTCTCTTTCCAAGAACCCTAGGGCACCCATAAGCTCTCCGGGGAAACAGGTGCTATGTCAAAGCAGTCAGATACTAGATGAGAAACCAGCCCCTAAGGTCCGAAAGCCGGAGAGGCTACGGATGAGGTCTCCTAGGGATCTAAAACAACATTTCACTAACGCTGAGTACCCGACTCGAAGCCGTCTAGAATGTGCATACAGGGCTGTTCTTATAAATTAGTTCATTTTCAAGCAATACCGTTTCGAAAACGGAATCGCTGCTTATCTAAGTAATATCCGTAAAGTTGAACCTGTGCAATGAGTGCTGCTGGGCTGAAGCCTCGTTTAGCCAATGCTGCACAGAATTGGCCGTGATGAGGATCCCCCGTCGAGTGTTCCTCCAGGGCTCCAGCGATGGGGTGTAGCGGATAAAGCTCAAGAGTTGACTCCATAGCTCAAAATCGGATGATGCTTGGTTTACAGGAGGACACTGTGTTCCCAAGGAGACCTGGATATACGTAAAGAAGATGAGCTGGCACGAATGAAAGGAAAACAGAATGCTATATCATGGATCGTGAGTAGCTAATAGCGATCGTGGTATTAGCCCAAAGGACAACACTATAACACCCTGTTTTTGCGTGGAATGGACTGTATTGATATTGCTTGTTGCCAACCGATTTCCACAGCGCATCTTGATTTGCCAAATGCCATGTCCCACCTCGGGCGGTGGGCCAACTTGACCAAGACATCTTGGCATCGGAGCCCCTGAGTGGAAGCCTCTGGAAACCGCTGCCATACAGTGGCACTCTATCTGTACATACAGCACTGGCGGTCTTGTGGTCGAACAAACTCAGCAACTTGGCTCCCACAAATAGTAAAGCACGAATTGTGGAACAACGAGCTCTGTTCGTCAAGAGTGCTCTTGTTCTTACATCATCAGTCTTGTGTCGTCCATGATACACCAAGCCGGGCGTTCGGGAGTCTCCGGCTTTGTCATTGTGTGTGTGCATGCTTCATTCCGCAATGGAGGGGAAGATACTGCTTAGAAGATACAGAGGCTACACAAGGTTGTTTCATGTCGTATTGAGTGAGCTTTGATAACGGTACCCGATGTCTCGGTTTTTCGAACATATCTCTTGGGCGACAATAAAGCAGTTAAGCATCTTCTTACCCTTCAACAGCGTTGCCCACGTGTGGCAGAGGATTGGACCAGACGGATGGGCATATAACAAGTAAGCCATAGACGGGCTGGGATGGCGGCTGTCGCGAATCATCTCCGACCCAACGCAACCCCCATATCAAGACAGGCAGTGCAAGCAGACCAATTTTGGAAGACAATGGGGATCTCGTTGCTCATCAGTGCCCATCGCTCAGCTCATCGAATTTGCTTGTGAAATGAAGTGGAGCCCGGCAGGGACAAAGCCGGAAAGAACCTGTCTATCCGCTGTCATAAACTATTTCTTAACCGTACATAGACTATAATGCTCTATGAGTAAGTAGCATCTGCTAGGGATGTACCATGCTGCTGTAACTGTCAAAAGGTTGGCCATCACCAACTGAGGATGCGATATTTTTCGAGAAAATACAACCTTGAACGGTTCTCGTCTTCCTCGCTATTCGTATCTGTGGCAGTGAGAAGCTCGCTCCGAGATGGGCCGAGCGGTTTTCAGGGCTGCCAGTCATCTCCCGATTTCCCTCGTCAAAAACAGAATCTCGACAGGGGAAATCATCTGGGAAGCGACACTAGGTAGGTTGCCTATCTTATCCGAACACTGCTCCGGACAGTTACAGTTTCCAGATTGTAGCACACGGTACTTGTCCCGGAGTCATCTGTCAGATGAAATGCAATAAGATAAAAACCATCATGTGCCAAAGTCTAGCAAAGGTCCGAAGGGACATCGAAGCTGATAAGAGGTAGTTAAAAAAAAAATTCGTACAAGTTCACACTCTCGGGTGGCCGATGGAGGCGGAAAAGGCTGCCATTACGGTTTATTGACGCCGAAGCCGCCATTGGCGCGTTTGGTTCCCAAGAGCAGATCCCCAGAAGGAGCCATGATCAAATTTCCCGGTTGATGGCCTGTGGATCTTGGGTTATGACGGCAGCTCATCTGGCTGTTTTTAGCTCCCGTTGGGCTGGATGCATTAGCTTCGCGACAGGGGCTGGAACAAGTTCTGGAGCAGTCTTGGCCGTCAGGCGAGCAGAAGAGCGAGAATGGAAGGCTGAGAGATACGGAGTATGTTCTTAAAGGGCGGTAGTTTGAGGGGGGTGGCTCTAGGCACCTATGCCGCCTTAAAGCCCGCGGCGCTTGGGACAAGGCACAGTCATCCATCCATCCCGGAGAGGCTTCCAACTCCGTGCCAGTGGCAGGTTTTGGAGCTGAAGGCAAATCAACTCATGTAGGAATGTGTGCTGCTTGTTTGTGAAACGGCGGAAGGGCATTTGAAATCTCCAAGTCGGAGGTCGGGTGCAGCCAGGGCATCAACGGCAGTGGAGGGGTTGCAATGTTTTGGGGAACATTGGCTGAAATGTCCCAGTCCCCAAGCCCCTGGCCAGCTGCCCCTCACAAGCATCGATCGGAGACTGGGGAGCTGGGCACTGCACTGGGCAACCAGCAAACAAAAATCCACTGCCCCGCGGCAGCTAGCATCTGAAGCAGCACAGTGCACCAATCCATGACAAAACGAACAGGAATTGTGCAATGCCATTAGTCTAGTGTTCTAATGTCCTTGGGGCACATTGTGTTGCTCCTTTGGAATCTTTCGGTGTGCTGTACCCTCAAAGTGTCGGCCTTTTTCACTGCTCGTGTCAGAAGGCCAGATGACCCAGTTGACGCCGCCAGATGGCCCTGACCCCCCTGGTTGGGCAGGGATACATGGCCCACTAACATCGCCCTTGATGGATCTCCAGTAACCGGGTAGATTGGCACGATAAAAGCAATCACCATTCCGCCCTCAAGAACCTTTTGAGCTTCCCGACCGCCATTCCATTCCTCTTCTTCTTCCTTCCCTCTGTCTTGCGGACGCCGATCCTCACAGTGCTCGGCTGCTTCAGTGCTGTCTGCTATTCTGCGACGATTTTTCTCGACGCGCAGCTCATTAAAACGCCATCAAAAGCTTATCAACGGCGACCAGAACTTCAGCGAACTGTAAGTCCCGCCTAACCCCCTAAACGCCCAAGCCCGGGCCCCTGGGCGTTGCCAAGCTGTCAGGCCTGTTGGGCCCTGGACTGCCGGGGGACCAGCCCCTCCAAACTGCCATCGATCCCTCCTCCTCCTCCTCCAGCACAAGGGGATCACTTGCAGATGATACGCAAGCCCCGCAGTTGGACAGCTCTGCGCCGTGATTGCAGCAACCTCAATGCCCAGTGCTGCCCAGTTCCACCGCAGGAACTCTCGGCACGACTTCAGAGCGAGAGCCGGGAGGGAGGGATGGCGGTTGGCTGGAGGGGAAAAGTTGGATGGATGGCTACTGAGGAGGGGGAGGGGCACAGACGGACCAGGAGGAGGGGCTGCTCCAGAACCATCACCCTCCGTGTCCCCAGAGAACTCCAGGCAATCCAGGGAAGACGGGCATGGCTGCAGATTGCAGATGTCTAGGTCCATTGGCCACGGCACCCGCTGCTGTCCTCCCAGTTGCTTTCATTACGTCAATCGGCTAATTTATTAACGGCTCGCAACTACAGAAAGCCCTTAGCTTTTAAAAGCTCTTCATCCGCCACTCGGCCCTACAACCTCAACACCAGACATTCTCGACCTTGCGTGTCAGCTCTGCACCCCCTCCCCGAGACCGATCTGAGCCGATTGTGCCGTTGGTCATCGAAGAAACAGCCCACCAGACAAAAAAAAATATGGCGACCAGGACCCTCCCCACTCACCTCAAGCCGCACGACAGCAGCAGCGGCGATGATATCGAGTTTGCCAAGAGGCATCATGGCAAGACAAGATCGCACATGGTGAGTTCTGACAGTCTCAATTGCCCCTTTCTGTTGCACAGAAGCGTCTGCCAGGTCCTGGCAGCACAGCCAAGGCCCAGGCGGGCGAGTTCCTGGACATTGGGAGGACAAGTCCGATCTCGCCCGTATCAGAGCTGCCAGAAAGAGAGGATGGCAGGAAATCGGGAGAATCAACGGTCTCCAGGGGACCGGCCGTGCTACAGTCGACGTGGCGAAGGGACTCGCGGCCTGTATACCAGTCGTTGTCACAAAACCGGCGTGTCGAGCTGGAATAGCTGAGCGCAACGCCACTAGGACTCCGTGGGTATGGCTTTCGTGGCCATCTGGTGGTCCTGGCTGTTGTTCGCTAGACAACTAGCTCCCCCTCCCCTCCCCCTTCCCCCCAAAATTGCATAACTTGCAAAGGGGTAACTCTCGCCTTGAGCAACGGTTTTCGCAGACTGGCAGATTTCCCCCGGGGAAGAGCATCCATTTTCAGGCAGCATGAGCGGAGACGGCGAGGACTGTGAACCCTCTGAGGTGACAGGAGTTGGACTTCTGCTTGACACATCCTCGAAGCGACGGTGAGACTGACAACATATGGCATATCCTAGGCCTTCGAGAACACCTCGACCAACATTGCCGCGGCTCAGATGCGCAATGCCCTCACAAACCTGGCCGAGACAGTGAAGGACCCGGAGCAGAAGAAGGTAGGCTGCACTGACACCTCGTATCTCGAAGCATTAGACGCTGATAATGTCCACAGAGGTTCGAGAGTGAAATGGACAACTTCTTCCAGCTGTTCCGTCGGTACCTGAACGACAAGGCTAAGGGCAACGAAGTGTAAGCAACATTTAAGGATTTGTTTGTCCCCTCAGTGCCCATGCTGTGCTAGGGCTAACAGTGTTGGCAGTAACTGGGACCGCATTGCTCCTCCCGCTAAGGACCAGGTGATTGAATACGATGACCTTCCGGCAGTTGAGTCGCCTGAGTTCCTCAGCAAACTTGCTGTGCTCAAGCTCAACGGTGGTCTGGGTACCTCGATGGGTTGCGTCGGCCCCAAATCGGTTATCGAGGTCCGCGACGGCATGACCTTCCTTGACATGACTGTGCGCCAGGTCGAGCACCTCAACCGCACATATGGCGCCAACGTGCCCATCGTCCTGATGAACTCGTTCAACACGGACGAGGACACTGCTGCCATCATCAAGAAGTATGAGGGCCATGGTGTCGACATTCTGACCTTCAACCAGTCGCGTTATCCGCGCATCTACAAGGACTCGCTCCTACCGGTGCCTAAGTCGTTCGACTCGCCGCTGGAGGGTTGGTATCCTCCGGGCCACGGCGACGTCTTCGAGTCGCTATACAACTCGGGCATCTTGGACAAGCTGCTGGACCGCGGCATTGAGATCATCTTCCTGTCCAACGCGGACAACCTGGGCGCCGTCGTTGACCTGCGCATCCTGCAGCACATGGTGGAGAGCAAGGCTGAGTACATCATGGAGCTGACCAACAAGACTAAGGCCGATGTCAAGGGTGGTACCATCATCGACTACGAGGGCAGCGTTAGGCTGCTCGAGATTGCGCAGGTGCCCAAGGAGCACGTCAACGAGTTCAAGTCGATCAAGAAGTTCAAGTACTTCAACACCAACAACATCTGGATGAACCTCCGCGCCATCAAGCGCGTCGTTGAGAACGACGAGCTCGAGATGGAGATCATCCCCAATGCGAAGACCATCCCCGGCGACAAGGCCGGCGAGTCCGACATCAACATCCTGCAACTCGAGACGGCCGTCGGTGCCGCCATCAAGCACTTCCGCGGTGCCCACGGCGTTAACGTGCCGCGCCGGCGCTTCCTGCCGGTCAAGACGTGCTCCGACTTGATGCTCGTCAAGTCGGATCTGTACACGGTCAAGCATGGCCAGCTGCACATGAACGCGCAGCGCTTCGGCGACGCCCCGCTCATCAAGCTCGGCTCGCACTTCAAGAAGGTGTCTGACTTCCAGAAGCGGATCCCGTCCATCCCCAAGATCATCGAGCTCGACCACCTCACCATCACGGGTGCCGTCAACCTCGGTCGTGGTGTCACCCTCAAGGGTACCGTCATCATTGTAGCCACCGAGGGTCAGACCATCGATATCCCGCCGGGCTCGATCCTGGAGAACGTAGTTGTCCAGGGTAGCTTGCGGTTGCTTGAGCATTAAAGGGAGGAAGGAAAAAAAAAAAGGGGGAAAGGAAAGCAAAAAGTGTTGTGAAGGGGAGAGAGTGTGTGGATTGTTGTCAAACTGGCTTTGTTTTTTTTTTTTTCAAGCTGTTAGACCAGAGGGGGAGGAGGTCTAGTGGTATGAATTAAAAAAAAGATGGTCGTGTAAGGGGCTGTTTGGCTCTAGTTAATTGACTAGGTAGTCGCTGCATGTAGGCGGGTTATTTACATACTAGGAATAATTCGGTTTTTTTTTTCTTGTTGTTCGGCATATTACGTATCTCGTCCCCAGGTGCTTAAGCCGTAGTGTAAAAAATAAAAATGATCTAGGGCCCTATCGGGTGTCAATTACTATATCCCCTCGGGCATAGGAAGAAAGTCCCTTTGGAATATATGCTCGGGCAAGGTGGCCTTTTTGGGTGAAGATTTCGGGCTGTTTGATTTTTAACTTCTTTTTTTTTACTTTATACGCCGTCGTCCATCCCTCCAGAACGCCGCCTAATCTACCAAAAACCAGAACCTTCTCGACGTCCCAATCCACAATCCTATACACTCGTTGCTAATCATAGCCATCAACACGTAGACGAAATCAAACTCGTTTTACATCCTCCTGGCACCATATACCAGGTTGCTGGCCCTCCTCCTCCTCTTTATGAGCCCCCTCCCGTACGACCCTTCTTCTTCAACTTCTCCGTACAGTCCGGGCAGTACCACGTGCCATTGGGTTCGCTCTTCAGGCCCACACAACCCCAGTGGAACCATTCGTAGGGGCAGTCCTCGTTGTCGCAGGCCACCATGTTTCCGAAGCTCACGTTTTGGCACGAGCAGTACTTGCGGTCGTCGCCCGCCTCATCCTCGTCGACGTCCATCATGTCATCCCCTCCCCCCGCCCTTTGATGATGCGGTGGCTGCTGGCCTTGAGTGTGGCCTCCTTGTTGCGGGGAGCCGGTTCCGTTGGCAGAACCGTCGGCTCCGCTGGGGCCTGCGTTGCCATCGGCGTTGCCGGCTCCCGACGCGCCTGAAGATCCGTCGGGGGCCCCGGCTGTGGAGGAGAAGCTGGCCAGGTTCGAGTTGGCGCGCGATACGGTCGCGGGGGTGCCACGGCCGCCCGTTCGGGCGTCGCTTTCGTCGTCGCTGGCCGAGACGGCGTCGGAGAGCTCAGACTCTGCGGTCGAGGAGGGCGAGTTCTTGGCAACGGCGCGCTTCACGCGCGACAGACCGGACTTGTTAGAACTGCTGCCCGCGGTTGGCGTGCCCTTTTTGCGTGAAGATGATGCTGATGGGGTGCCCGACTTGCGAACGGTCCCCGATGCCTTGGACGTCGCTCGCGGCCCGGCGCTGCCGGCTCGTTGGACGTTCGTGCTGGCCGTGCTGGCCTTAGGCGTTCCCGGCCCCAGGGACGAGTGCCTAGCCAGTCCGCTGGATGTTGCCGGGGCGTTTCCAAGCCCGCTGTTTGACCGTCCGATCGCACGCTTAGTGGACGGTCCGGCCGAACCCTCGCGGGCTTGGCGGTTTAGGATCATGGTAGCGGCCGGTGTGGCAGGGGCTGAGGCTGAGATGTGTTGCTGTGACTGGGCGCCTCGGATCTGGGAGCTAATCACGCGAAGCTGGGTCCCGTTTGCGAGCGGCGTGAGGGCAGCAGTGACGGGGTTCGTGCCGTTGACCGCACGCAGGGTCGAATTCGTGACGTTAGCATCGCTTGGACGAATCAAGGACGGCAGCTCGTCTGGGTCGGTGAAGCCGGGTTCACCACGGTCGTAGAGCATCTTGATTTGCATGTCGAGGTGGCGGATGTGCTTGTCCATTGTCTGCTGCAACTTCTGGGTCAGGGCGATCTTCTCTTGGGCCAGCTCCTCAGCGCGCTTGAAGTTGGCGGCAATGGTTGCGCGGTACTCGTCCTCCTTAGGGTTGGGATGGTGGCTGCCATGTGCCTTGATCCATTTCTGGATCCGGCCGTCGCGGTCCTCGATCTCGCGGATGAGCTTGTCGTACTCGCGGTCCTTGTGGGCGATCTCCTCCTGCAGGAAGCGCAGCTCTTCGGGCAGATTCTGCACCCGGTTAATCCATTCGTCCAGGATCAGCTGCGGGTCGAGGGTGTCGGCCGGCTGCATCTTCCTGACGAAGTCGATTGTTAGATCGTCTCGCGGCATGGCTGCTACCCCTCGCCGGCACGGCGGCGCGATTCGGGTACGCCAAAACGAAAGAGAACTGAGACAGATAGATGGATATGCTATGACATGGAGGCCACAGCAGTTCCCTGACCAGCGAGTGACCAGTCGAGGGCGAGGGCGACGAGACCTGATATCAACTTTGACCCAGGTCGGGCAACCCGTGGCAGTTGGCACACTGAACGCGCGAACGCGAAAGCGAAAGTAGAGAAAGAGACTTAAGAGAGTGAGTGGATGAAGAGCGAGCGAAGAAGCAGCGTTTAGATGATGACTATGACGATGACGATGACGATGACGATGATACCGATGATGCCGAAGCCATTACAAAAGCTCTTCTCTACACAATCGTGTGAAGAAGAGCCGACACTCGACAGATCTCGAGACTACGTATCGGGCATCGACTGAGACAACTCCGCAGCGCGGTGCAATGAGCCGGGCTGGAATGGCCCGGATCAAGCCGGGGTTGTGGATAATATATGTGTGGGATGGGTGTGAGTGGAGGAGGTGTGGTTGATGAGAAATCCGCAGCTGCAGTCTTGACTTTGGCTCACCTCGCGACGGGCGAAGGGTTTCCCTTGGAAAGTCGACTTGGAATTGAAAGTTGAATTATCGATATGTTGGACACTGGACCCCTGTTTCCATCCAGCGGGGATCTGGTCGACAGGCAGGCGTGTGAAGCGGGAGCTGAAGGAGCTGAAACAATGAGGCATGAGGTAGAGAGGATCGTCGAGGAGGCGTGTGGGTTCTTGCCAAACCCGAACCCTCGACGACGTTTGCTCATGGCGGGACGTTGATATTCCTGTTTGCCTTCGTCCAATGAGCAGCCTGGGAGAAAGGCGGCTGGAGCCACAAGACTCCACTATGCGCCAAGAATTGAGCAAGGGTTCCAGAAGAATGCAGTGCGCTATGTCAAAAAAGGTTTAGCGTATTTTTGTTTGCATCCCAGTCAAACGCAGCGGATTTGCGATGTTGGAATTGTTAGAGCTGAAACCCGGACTCTGGATTTCTGGAATTGGGGGAATTACAGGTTGCTGCATCAAAGCTTCACGACGCCAGTCACCGATCGCAGTCAGTCGCCGTCGCCGTTACCGTCGCGACCTCGCAGTTTCGGTCGCATATAACCTGCATCGCGTCTGTAATACTGCGTTTGCCACGTTTTTGGAATCGCGCGCCAGCCGGTAATCTCGCCCTGCCTGACCACTCTCGTTTAACCACCCCGGACGATCCAGCTGCTTCAACCACTCAACCACTGCGACCTGCGCACGCGCTCGCGCCCTGTGTTGCGCCCAAGAGCCAGGAGTCCCAGGACTTCCAGGTTCTTCGAGTCGTGAGCTTCATTCTCGAGCACGCCGACGGAAAGCCCGACTATATTTACACATCCCCCGAAATGGACGCCTCCGCATATCGCTACCGGCCACCCAAGCCGAACTACTTGCCCCACGACATCGATGTCGACGACCCCATCGTCGAGGAGTATTCGATCCCTCTGCAGAAGGCCAGCGACCACGAGAATGCCATGTACTTCAATAAGATGAAGTGGGCGGCTCAGGAGTTCGGCATCCAGCGGCCCAAGGGCTACACCGTCTCATACCACGCTCAGCCCGAGATGGAGAAGCACCACTTTGGCCAGACGCATCCCATGAAGCCGTGGCGACTGACGCTCACCAAGAGCCTGGTAACAGCATACGGCATGCCCTTCGCCATGGACAACTACATCACGCGCGAGGCCACATATGAGGAGCTCAACGCCTTTCACTCGAGTGACTACCTGGACTATCTCGTCTCTGCCGCGCCGGAGGACCAGCCGGCCGACGACAACCCGGACAAGGAGGTCAGGTTCAATTTGGGAGGTAGTGACTGCCCGTTGTTCCACGGCCTCTACAACTATTGCTCTATGTCGGCCGGCACATCGCTGGACGCTGCGCGAAAGATCTGCAGCGGCCAGTCCGACATCGCCATCGCCTGGGGCGGTGGCCTGCATCACGCGAAGAAGTCGGAGGCGTCGGGCTTCTGCTACATCAACGACATCGTGCTGGCTATCCTGCAGCTGCTGCGGATCTATCCACGCATCCTATACATCGACATCGACGTACACCACGGCGACGGCGTCGAGGAGGCCTTCTTCTCGACCGACCGCGTTATGACCGTTTCCTTCCACAAGTATCAGCCCGACTACTTTTTCCCCGGCACCGGCGGCCTCGACGACAATGGGCCCAAGAGCGAGCACAATCCGGGCGCTCATCACTCCATCAACGTGCCGCTCAACGACGGTATCACCGATGAGCAGTACGAGTGGCTGTTCAAGACCGTCATCACCGCAGTCAACGAGCACTACCGCCCCAGCGCAATCGCCATGCAGTGCGGCGCCGACTCGCTGGCCGGTGACCGCCTGGGCCGCTTCAACCTACGCGTGCAGGGCCATGGTGCGTGTGTGCGCTTCTGCAAGAGCCTGGGCCTGCCCATGATCCTTTTCGGCGGCGGCGGCTACACTCCGCGCAACGTGGCCCGCGCCTGGGCCTACGAGACATCAATCGCCATCGGTGCCGATGACCGCATCCCTGAAACGATCCCCGAACATGCCCCATGGCGCGAGCATTTCATCCACGACACGCTCTTCCCCACGCTGGAGCAGAGCATGAACGAGCCGCGCCATAACCGCAACTCGGAGAAGCGACTTCGCGAGATCGTACAGCACATTAACGAGCAGTTGCGCTTCGTGTCGCATGCGCCAAGTGTGCAGAGCCAGCTGATCCCGCCCGATCTGGGCGTCATTCGTGACGAGATTGAGGCGAGGCTGAAAGAGGAAGAGGAAGAGAAGGAGCGGAGAGAAACGCAGCGCAAGGTCAAAGAAGCCGGCATCGCCCAGCCCGGCGAATATTGAGAGGGAGATGAGGCTCTGAGTCTTGGACAGACTTACGGGGACCTCCGACGCTGAGTTGAATGCTCTTATCCGTCGTTTGGTGGTCGGAAGGGCCATACGTCTTCTACTAGAGGAGCCATCCGCCCAAGACCAGGTCGCATTCAGAAAGCACAGGAACAGCAGTGATGCTGGTTTTCAATTTTGCACTTCAGGCGGGAAGGGAAAAAAAGAAAAAGAAAAATCATTCATTGTGGGCCCGGCTCTTTGCGGGCCCCCTGGTCTTCCCCCTCTTTTTACATCAAAAAAAAAAAAAAAGAGAGAGACTTCGGCATATGTGCCCCGAGTGGTCGGTTGAGCCATGGCGCCATTGATCTCGGCGGCGGAGGTGGCCGACACAGGGACCGCCAGTGAGCGAGGTAGATGACGCTCCGAGCCGAGGCCGGCTGTTTTTCCATAAAAATTTGGCAGGGTCAGCCCCCTTGCCGGCGCTAGATGCGGGGTCATAGGCGCGCCGTCGCTGGCCAGCCGCCGCTACAAGCACATATGCTGCGATCGCCGGGGCGGGTCCGATCGGATCTCTCCGACACACGGGCCCTTGCATGGGCGACATGGGCGATACGAGCACGACGTGGGCACGACTTGGGGACAGGGCTCTTTTCCGGTGAGCGCAGTGTATGCGTGCGGATGGCGGAGCGATGCGACGGGGTCACGGGGGTCCAAGTCAGCTGGTCTGCGAACTCGGACCACATCCCGGCATTGCATCATAAGCATCATAGCGCCGCGTCGATGGCGACCATGGTAACCAGCGGCCTTGTTTTTTAACACCATGCCAGACCGGGGTTTCACGGCAGCATGGCTAAACTCGAAGAATGGAAGGGCTTCATGATGGAGTGCATACTGCATCGGTGTGAGTGAGCTACCTACCAGTTGTACATGCGAACTACTTAACTTCCAAGCTGCATGTGCAATTGCGTCTGCAGTCTTGCAGACATCGGGAATCCGGGGTTCAACGAGCAACGGACACAACCCCCCCCCCCAAAAAAAAAAAGTTTGATGTCTGCATGCCATGCGCTAGCCTAATGAAACGAAGCAAAACCATGTGCGTATGTATGTATGGACTGGATATGGAGATCTACCTCGAATGTGTATGTATACTAGGTATGAAATGCGTACACTCCCGTCTCCGTCGTCATCGCCATATTGTCTGGCCAACCAGGCCTTGCTCCAACCTCCCTGCCGATTGCCTACCTTTTTACTGATACTTGTTTATATGCCACACCTGCGGTTCTGAGCTGCTGTTCACCGTTCTTTCGTTCAACGTTCAAAGTTATAAACCGTCGATTCTTCTGCCTGCTCCGTCTTCGGGTCCTCCTGGACGACGTGAAGGCAGCATTGCCCCTGCCAGGTTCAAACTGGAGTTGGGCTGTGTCTCTTGTTTCGCCGCCGGCGTTCAGAGCTGTGAATATCTTCCATCACTGTGGCTTGCAGAAGCCGAAACACGCTCCCAAGTCCTTCCCCCTCCCTCCCCCCCCCCCTTGGTCTGGACTCTTGCCGTCGTGCGCTCAGTCGAGCTTGCTGTCGCTGGATCCCTGCCTTCCTACACAGCACTGTGTATACTTGCCCTTGTCCGGTCCACCCCTCCCTTCCAAACCACCCCCCCCCCGGGCCGGTCCCTCGTCCACCGTCCCCCGCCATCAACAACAACCTAGGCCTTATCTATGCGCGCCGTATCTCCACCATCCCCTCCGAGATCGTGCTAGTTATCTGGGCTATCTGACCCGACCGGTTGGATAACCTCTCAAGCCTGCCCCTCTCCTCATCGTCGGCTGCTTTCTTCTGGTCCTCTCATCGTCGCCCTGCCCTGCGCATCCAGAAGGCAACAGCCGGCACAATGTCGATGCATCGTGTCTCGTCCATCGAGACCTTCACTACCTTCCGCATAGACCATCACAGGAGAGAGTCTGATGCTTCGACCCGCGCCCGCAAGCTTACCTTCAACCCCCTTCCGCCAGAATGGGATCCTCCCGTGACCATTGACCATCCCCAGGCTGTCGGTGCCTTCCAGGTACCGAAATGGAAGCGCCTGGGTAAGTGAGATTCCGATTCTGTATAACGTTGGACATTGGTGATGGTAGACCCCGCCCTACTTACACCAGATGCAGCCCAAGTCGGTGCCAGCGTAGTCTACTGCTTCCTCGCAGCCGGCTTAGTCTTTGGCTATGCCGCAATCAAACCCGTCCTGAAGGATGAAGGCGCCTATCGCGATGTCTGCGCCTCCGCAGCGAGAGATGGCTCGCTCGAACCCGAGGAGACGTGTGTCGAGATGCACCTCAACATGATGTTTACCGTTGCCGCTGTCGCAACTAACGTCGCCGCTCTTCCTGTCGGCGCCATCCTCGACCACTATGGCCCCCGCGTCTGCGGCGTGCTGGCCAGTCTGTTCCTGGCCCTCGGCGCTCTGCTCATGGCCTTCGAAGATCTCCTGCCCTTCGACGGCCTGCTGTTCGGCTACTTCTTTCTCGCCCTCGGCGGTCCCTTCACCTACATCTCATCCTTCCAGCTGTCCAATGCCTTCCCGCGCCACTCGGGCTTCATCCTGGCGCTGTTGACAGGTGCTTTCGATGCATCGAGCGCCATCTTCCTTGGCTTCCGGCTGGTCTACAATGCCACGGATGGCGCATTTGGTCGCCGCCGGTTCTTTGTGTCGTACTTGCTCGTGCCCGTGCTGCTCATGCTGGTACAGCTGACGATCATGCCCGCGCAGTCGTACAAGACAGTTGGTGAGCTAGTAGAGGAGCTGGAGACGGAGAATCATACCAACGGCTACGGCAGCAGTAACGGTCTTGTAAATGGGGGTCAGAGGAGCAACGGCAGGCCGTTCGCGTCGGCATTCGAGGACGATAGTGACGACGAATCGCCATATGCGATCGACCAGGTTGATGAAGAGACGGCACTATTGCGCCAGGAGAGATGGCGCCGGCGCGCCGAGGCCGAGGCCGATAGGCAGACGCGTGCCGAGGACCAGAAGTTCAAGGCCTCGGGCGTGTGGGGTGTCATGCACCCTTACTCGGCTTGGGAGCAGATCAAGTCTCCATGGTTTATCCTCATCTGCTTATTTACCAGTACGCTTTTCCTTCTCCTCCCTCTTCTTACCCCTATTCGACCCCACTAATGATTATATAGTCGTGCAAATGACCCGCATCAACTTCTTCGTCGCGACTATCCGAACACAGTACACCTCTCTTTTCAGCCCGCTCCCCGACCCCCCAGCCGCCGCCGCCGCCCTCAACACTTACTTCGACGTGGCCCTGCCCCTGGGCGGCATCATCGCGATCCCCTTCATCGGCTTGATCCTCGACCGCCTAAGCACCGTAACCGTCCTCACTCTCCTAGTCACTTTCGCAACGCTCATCGGCGGCCTGGGCCTTGTGCGCGGCTCCGAAGCCGCCGCTTACCTAGGCGTAACTCTCTTCGTGGTGTACCGCCCATTCTACTACACCGCCGTATCGGACTATGCGGCGAAGGTGTTTGGGTTTGAGACGTTTGGTACCGTGTACGGTGCCGTCATTTGTCTGGCCGGAGTCCTGAGCCTTGCGCAGGGCGGGCTGGATTACTTGTTCGAGAAGACGTGTCGCGGCGATCCGGTACCCGTGAACGTGGGGTTGCTGCTGGCTGGGTTGAGTGTGGGCGTGTGTCTCGTCGGGTTTGTGTGGTGGAAGGCTAGACAGCTGGGGACGAAGGGGGAGTTGGGGAGATGTTGAAGTGGTTAGTTGATCGGTTGCTTCATTGGTTTAAGAGACACTGGGCTTGGTTGGTTTGCTTGTGTAGTATCATGATCACTCATGACGAAAAAAAAAAAGGTTCTTTGGGTAAAGGGATGGACGGTATGTTTACTATAGCACAGCGCGGTTTGGATTGGGTTAGTGTCTATGGTTACGTGCATGCTCTAGGTTTTTTTTTTTTTTTTGAATGTTTCATGAATAAATGATATATTGTGAGATACGAGAAATCAGTTCATCATGATAGTAAGTAGTGTATGTGCAAGTCTTGTTGTCATATTATCACCACAATTCAAAACTGTTGTACATGCATGCAGACATGAGATATTAGAGAAAATAATATATATATATATATATATATATATATATATAATATGACTATCATGCGAGGTAAATGTTTTTGCAAACATCCATCACTACCTCGCTATCTACCTATCTAACCCTTTTATGTTTTCTTTTTGAACCCCCATAGAGTATCAACACATCACATAAAGCGTAGGATCCAGGTTTTGCTTTGCTTTGCTTTTGGCTTTTTTACCTTATCCAAAAGAAGATTTCAAACCAAGTAATCAGCAAGCAAAAACTTTAGAGGGTATCTGTGTGAAAAGAAGGAGACACAAAGGAGATAGAGAGAGACGTGATGCAGAGATGGATTAGAGGGGCGAGGGGGAGAGTTTATACAAAGGAAAGGGGCCTCGACGAAACGGCCATCCCATATATGTTGGGTATGTGTAACGGTGAGTATGCATTACCTCCAGACAGACTGTCCGGGGGGGGAGTCATGCTCAGATTATCGAGGTTGCCCAGGCCGACCGCCAAGGGATTAATTGGATTACTCCCCTCTAGCCATCAGTACTGACGAAGGGTATGTGTGTATGCGTGTGTGTGAAATGCTGTGTGTCGTTCATGCCCGCCGATCGACAATCTCCCCCGCTCTCAGCAAGGCGCTCATGCCGTCGAAACTGACGCTATGTGAGTGCCCTGGCCGCCCGCCTTGCTCTGGTGATGGTCCTGGAGGGGGTAGCCTGGCTGAGGACGAAGCCGGGGGCGGTACTGGTGGGGTCAGCGTTCGAAGCGGCTGTTGCGGATGGGAGGAGGCTGAGAATGGTGATGGTGCTGCTGATGCTGAGTGGTGGTGCATGCTGCTACTGGGTAGCGGCAGAGGTTGCAGGTGCGACTGCGCTGGCGGTGCGTGTGTCGCCGAGGATGCTCCATTGTGATAACCTGTGGACGAGGAAAAAGGAAAGATGTCAGCAACCCTAGACTCACGATTTTTGACACGTATACTGAGGTTTTCATGCTGTTCGGACATACCGTTCAGAGCAGGTAAGCCACCAGCGGCATCACTGTGGTTAGCCGAAGCCTGGAATGGGTTTCCATGGAACGAGTGGTGATGATGATGCTGATGATGATGCTGATGATGATGCTGCTGCTGATGGGGATGCATCGGGAGTGGTTGCCGATGGTCAAAGGCTGGCTCGGGCTTGTTTGCTAGCAGCGCATGAATGGGCAAAGGGCCGTCAGCTGCTGTCCGAGGAGGATGGCTGAAGGAAGTAGGATGCGACGAATGCTCATAGTGAGGGTCGCTCTTGAAGGTGGGGCCACGGACGTCGCTGTTGGAGTGTCCATGAGCCGAGTAATGGTAGTTGCTAGGATCGCTCGACGATGGACGCCCTGAGCCGGACAACCCGCGGTTATCGAAGACATCAGATAGCGACGGGAGCTGTCGTTGCATGCCCCTATCCTCGCCGTGATGAGCCGGAGGCAGAGGGAGACCTGGTTGCGGATGAACTGCGCCCAAAGTTGGCGAACCCCTCGACGATGGCTGCTCTGACTTCACTGGGACCACAGGCGAGGCAGCCGTCGACTCCTGAGGAGAATGATTTGCAACTGAAGGAGCAGCCGACGCTGAGCACTGAGACTCGGCAGTAGAAACGACAGACCCGAGCCTCTGCCTGCCGGTCGGCGGTTCACTTCCTCGGTGGCTCTCGGGGCCGCTGCCGCTCCTGCTGGTTTTCCGAGATGGAGTGGCGCCGGGGCTCGTGCGGCTCGTTGTGCTGGCGGCCTCGACCTTGATTCGCTTTGCGTTTTCCTTGTCTGCAGCTCCAAGGCACATTGGAGTTAGACTGGGGCGGCGGGCGGGGAGTTGACGATGCAAGCTCACCTTGTGAGGGAGAGCCATGCTTCTCCCTGAATTCTTTGAGGTACTCTTGGTACTTTCTGTACTCGGGCGTCTTCTTGTACTCAGCCAGCTCGGCCAAGTACTTGTCCTTGCAGCGCTGGGCTTGAGTCTCATACGGCTCCTTTTCCTCTGGCGTGAGGTTCTGCCAGTTTTCACCAACGAGCTTAGCCATCTCGGTAAAGCTCAGGTTACGGCCTTTGAGATCCTCGCGCATTTCTGATCGCACCGATACGCAGCTTAGTTAGTGAATGTCCAGGAAAGACGCTGCTTCATGGTGTGGTACGGTGTGCTAGAGATGGGCAAGCTTACTGTTGGCGAAGAGCACATAGGCAGATGGGGGCCGCTCAGGGGCATTCTCGTCGGGCTACCCGAGCAATCATATGTCAGTGTTCAGTCATTGCCGATATCTCCGCAGTGGTTGGGAGACTTCAGCAAAGGAAAGTTTACCTTGGGATGCCGGCGGTATTTCCGCTTCGTGACGATCATGGTCACGGGCTCACGGCCGTCGCCCTTCTGATTCTCGGATTTGACGGCATCCTGAGATTTGCCGTCTTCAACACTTGACTGAGTCGGAAACACCAGGGCAGCATCGGGGGCAATGCCGCGGTAGCTGGCGATCTTCCTCTGGAGTTTCTGTTGGGTCACAGAGCCTGGTCAGCCGTCTTCTGAACACCTGCAGCCACGGGGAGAACAACTCGCATGGAAACTCCCTGGTGACGGAGCCTTCACAAGAAGCAGCAGAGCAGGGCGGCGTTTTCATACCCGTCGATGGCCCAATTTCACCCCCAGCGCATCGCTACTCCCCAAAGCCGAGTCAGCATAGCAAAGAAAACAGAGAGCTTGTCTCGAGAAACGCACAGGTCGGACTCGGTAATGTCGAGAATGGTCTCCCATGTGTCGAAGCCCTGCTCCAGGAACGCATCGAGGTACTGGGTGATACCAAGCTCCCCAAAGATGGTCTCGAGTACCTGCGACATCCAGCCGAGTTGTGCACCGTGTCCCGCCTACGCGGCGATCTCTCGAGGGCTCAGAATCTCAAGAAGACAGCCAAGGCGGGGCGTAAAGGAAGGACAAAAGGGGCTGCGGTCGAGTTGGCACGGAGACGTTTTGTAGTTCGGTGTGTATTTTCTTCTTTTTTCGTGGTTTACACAGCAAGCTACCTAGGTCCTTGTGTCGGTCTTGTGTCGTCGGCGTGAGGCAAGGGTGTAATGCGCACGCGTACGTGAGTATGTGTGTGTATGTGTATGTTATGTGTGTATGTGTGTATGCGTGTGTAAAGCTATGCAGCGACTGACTGTCGTGAGCGCCGGTGTCTACCTGTAGTCAGGAGCCGAAGCAGTCGAACAGGGTAGCCTGGTGGTCGTCGAGTAGGCAATTCGTATACTGTCTATCTCAGCAACACAAGCGCAGCAGAATCACCAGTCGCAGCCGTACTAGAAAGCCAACAATAACAACTGCGACAGCAACAGCTACAGCACTTGTAGCATCAGCAACAGAAATGGACGGGATTTGGCTGCTCATAAACATTAGCATTCTGGCGTTCTTGACAAGCTGGGAACCAGGGCTTTTTTTGTGAGAGTGGGGTGACGGGTCGAGATCTTGATGACATGGTGCATTTCATGGGATGAAATGAAATTGTTACGACAGGGGTTGCATCGCGGGAGTGCTGCTATCAGCACAGTGCACTTATACCAATCAGGCAAGCGGCAAGCTCTAGGGACCTAGCAAAAGAACTGCGACAGAAACCGACTCCGGCTGCACGATGACCCTGCTAACGACGGTTGACGCGGGCGCTAGAGTGTAGTGGGCTGTGCTGCAGGTTTGCTGTCGGCTGTTGGTTGGATCGGAAAATCATGAAAATCACGACTCCAGGCGCTACAGACTGTTTAATGTATATATGTAGACAATGTGTGTAAGGCATGCACGTATATGCTAGGTGGTAAATACGCTACCTAAGGTACCTCATGGCTTCAAACACTAATACGCTTTGTCGCATACGGAACACACGGTAAACTGTAAGGTTGGTACCTCGAACACGGTGCTAGCTGCGGGTAGCGTTAAAGAAAAAAAAATTGTGTAAGAGGAGGGGAATATCTCCAAAACTCCAGCTCCAGCAACTCCAGCCCAGCTCCAGACTTCCCGACCTAGATCCGTGCCTGGCTTTGTGCTGGATTGCATTCCGAGCCAGTGAACGGGGCTCGGACCCGGCTGTTTTGAAGCTTCTGGGGGCCAGCAGCCCGCGTGGTTCGATCGTTGGCAAACGAACCCCGGATTCGCCTGCAGCCCGCCAAAGTCTGGCGATTCGAGCAGAGCCGGCGAATAGGTACAATACAAGGTCTTACGGAGTTCGTCTCAGGACGTAATCCCCATGTCAGGGGCTCTGCTGTGCTAGGGTGACGCCATATCACGGCCCGTTCTGGTGAAGTCTAAAGTATAACACCTCTCCCATGTCGTTTGAACATGTTGTCGTCGTCGTGTTAGCTGTGGAAGTGGTGACACACGGCGATAGTGCGAATGAGCTCACTGAGCGCACACAAAACTTTTGCATGCTGGGCTTCCCAGGCACGCTTTCAATGAAGGAGCCAGCGCTTCTCCACATTGTCCCCTCACACGTGTGGTTGCCTCCACTGGCGGAGCCTGCGAGCGTGTTTTTGTCGATCAATGTCGAGGCCTTGTCAGTCATCGTGGGCTGACAGGGCTCCCGCCGTCTCGGGCCCAGCACCCGATCGAGCCTCTTGGGAAGAGCGCCGTAGCGCTGTGTCCGCTAGTGAGGGCAGAGGAGCCCAGGACTGGCCGAGGAACGGCTGGTTGGACTCGACTGCTCTCCGCACACAACGAGATTGTGGGTGCGGGCGGGACTGGCGTTGGGTCGTGGCTGGAGCAGTACTGGAGGTGGTGCTGGAGCGGTGGTGCCAGTGACAAAAAGACGCTACGAAGACACACGAGCGCAGAGCACAGGCTGCGTTACCTAAGCTTAAGCAAAGTTGTGTAGGGTGAGAACGGAGTACCCACGTCCACTGCATTCAATGCGCCCACTGCGCCCACTCCATGCTGTCGCCATCGCTCTTTTGGCCGTCTAGCGCGGCGCCCAGCAGCGTCGGGGCTCTGGATCGCTGGATCGGCCTGGGACTACTTCTGGGCCGTCTGGAGCACTTCCAAAACGCCTAGACAGACAATGGCTTCTTCTGCGGATTCCCATCCCGCGCCAATGGGCATTTTGAGGCTGCAAAACATGGGGAAATCTCAAATTGGCGGGGGCATGCTCGGATGAGACGACGACATGCTGTCAATATTTCCCCAATTTTCCCCTCCTTTTGCTCCCACCACGGCACTCAAAAAGGGGGGAGTCGGTCCTCATCTTGGTGACGCGAAGGTGACGGCGGTGCGGGGATCGTTCTCTTTGGGAAGCGGGCGACTGATAATGCCATCCAATCCATGCCATGAGCCTGACGAGGATCTCGATCCCCATCGAATCCATGAAAACACATGAAAAAACGTACGATCTCGAAAGCCCGTACGGCAGCCTTCAGCCAATGAGGTGCTCCCATCCCACACCTTTCCCCAACGGGGCGTAGCGGGCGATCGCCAGCCAGCCAATCGCCAGCCCGCCTACCAGTCAGATGGAAGTCTCGGCAACTGTGATTCTTGATTTGACGGTGGAATTCACTGTCGCGCAAGGCGCAATATCCCATCGTTTCGCAGTTGTGCCTGTAAGCTCAGGTACATGCGGAGCTCGCCGGTGTACAGCCGCCATTACGGCCAGGCGGCCGTAAATTACACAATGGATTCCACAAAACCATTCCAGTTTCCACTTCCCACGATTAGGTAGGTGCCTGGAACTTCGAAAGCTCGGGCTCTGTATCCGTACTCCAGGTCCCTAAGCAGCATGGCTTTGATCCTCGCATTCTCGAGTCGTCGATTCGGGGCTGCTCGACGCCGATCTGCGAGGCATCACTACAATTGCAGGCCTGACAGACATGTCACATGTCAAATTGTGCTCATGGTCGACAAATGCATTCTGCAGCTTGCTGCACGCTGCGCCAACGGGCAGTTTGGCAGCACCATGGACGCCACCCTGTGACAAGCCCATTTGCCTATCTCATCTTGGCCCACGGAACTCTGCATTTTGCATCATTCTGTTCCTACCTTGCTCCCGTTCAAGCAATCGACGGCCGAGGGAAGTCAGCAACAGCGGATTTGCCGCTTCGGTCCCTTCCGCTGTCGCCAGGGTTTGAGTCCCGGCATCCTGGGAGACCGGAAGGGTGAGGTCAAGGCCTCTCTCCCCATGTCCATGGGGTGCCGTACCTATGTATGTAAGGTAGGTGGTCACCGTCCAGTCCGTGCGGATTAACATAAAAAGGGATGGGTCGCTTTTGGCTGTCAAAATCGTGTCCAAAATCGCCAGTGTGCCAGCCTTGGGATTTCCGATTTCAGGATAGGCAGTCAGTGAGCACATTTTCCACCTCCGCGGACTACCTCCATACAAGAAGGCGTCGAAGGTCGGCTAGGTAGAGTAGACTGGAGAATGGTCGACACAGGACTTGCCTGTCTCAGCCGCTGCCAATTGGTTCAGGAGCGCTTCCTCCGTGCAGATTTTCTGGAGATCGCCTGCAAGTCGACGTGCTGGATGTACACTGTTTATCTATCCATCAATGCCACCAATGCCACCAATGCCAAACCTCATGTTTGATGTCGATCGGTCACACATCCTTTGCTGGATACTTGCGAGAACTTACCTCTCTTACCTCTCTCTACGGTCCTAGTACGTGTAAACCATTGGCTTCCCGGTTTTTGTCGTTTGCTAGTTGACAGCCCAGCTCAATACAGAGCACGATGAATGCTTTAAAATTACCTACCTGCCTAATTTTTCTACACACGTGGCGATTGTTACCAGCTCTCCGCTATGAAACGAAGGCATTTGGGCTCTGCAGTGACGAGTGGTATAAGTGAAGCTCTCGTCTCTCTCTCTCTCTCTCTCTCTCTCTCTCTCTCTCTCTCTCTCTCTCTCTCTGTCTCTGCGTTGCTTCGTCCCCACGCTGGCTTGATACAGACAGGATCTGCCAGGTGGTGCGGTGTCCAAACGCTGGCAGCAGTTGCAAAGCGCGGTACGCGGCAGCTTTACTGCAAATATCGTACGTTTTTGATGTCGTCGGTGGTCGGTAAGATACGGGTATAAGAAGGCGCACGGAGTTTGTAAGGCGAGACCTGGCGCCGCACCGATCACCGGACGCTTCTCGGGCTTCGTTCAAACTAAAGCCAGCGACGGACGTGTCTGGAATGGGAATGCTGAAAACCTGGAACGTCCCCTTTTTAGAATGGTAAGCTTTTCGCGGAGCTTGAAGCTACCCTACAGTACCTAGATGCTTCAGGCCGGGTGAACGATACGCCGGTATTCGGTGTCAATCGGAAAATGAGGGATGGGCAATTTGTATGATGTGCTCTTACAGGATCCGTATGCATTGCGATAGAGGTATTACTGGCGGATTTCGCCGTGACGTAGGTAGAGATGCCACTCGGTACGTAAAGCGTAATCCGTAGCATACGGAGTTACATGGACATCACGGGAACGCTGCGACCGCCAGTCACGTTCTTCCACACCCACATATCAGAGCAAGCAAAATCAGCATCACCAGCAAGCGACAGCGCCAGGTCAAGACAACTCATCGCCCAACCCCGCTGTCGCCACTGCTAGCTTCGAGACTAAGAGACCATCAGGAGTCATGGCAGCATCCAACGGCAACAGCCCCGACTTGGCTGAGAACGGCAACCCCTCCTCTCGCGGGCCGTCATCAACGACATCGGCGGCCGACAACTTGGCCCAGGTACGTTGAAACATACTTACGTACCTACCTATCCTACCTGACCCCAAAACCATCCACTCCCGGAGGGTCGCTGGGTTCGCTGTCGTGTTGCAGGCCGGCCTGCAGATCGTGCTGCCAACGGCAACCTTGAGGCTTGAGGCTTCGTTTCTTTTAGCCTTGGCCTTTCCGGCTGGTGTTCTGCAACTCTTCAGCCTTGTCCGCAAAGAACCCTTTGCCCGGTATCATCCACTCCGCTGACGTGCCGTTCCCTGCCGGCATTTCTTGTTCTAGGCCCTGAAAGACCTTGCCAGGTATGATGCGATTTCTGCTCTTTCCATCGGTCTTGAATAAATCCCCATGGCCAGATTCTGAGAGATCAGCGTCTCGGGTCTCCCTGGAGAAATCCATATGGCCCATGGCCGATCTGGCGTCCGCGATTCAGAGACCCTCTTCCCCCGCTCCTGCAGTGCCCAGCGGCCCAGTGGCCCAGTGTTACCACGCGAGGAGGCCGATGTGACACAAGAGAAAAAGGGGAGAAAAAATCAAGCAGAAAAAGGCCCTCGGATCCCGCAGAATGCTGTCTTGGTTTCATCCTTCCTCCCCACCTGGCCCTTCTCACCGCTTCAGTTTTCCAGAAGGAACAGAAGCCAAAAGTCAGACCACTCTCCGTCTTCTCACTCCACTCCTGCGCACGAACCCGGGTGGACGGATCCCCAGAGAAAAAAAAGAAAAAGAGAGCGAGAGAGAGAGAAGAAAAAAAATCACAGCGCGCATCAAAACCAGCACAAGGGATCCTCGGCAATGGCAGACAGGTCTGTTACAGGGACGTGCATTGCTGCGATCACCGATTCCGTCCACGTTGGCTGGTCCAAATCAGCAGCAGGGCAAACACCCGGGACTGCTTGCCGGTGTTTCCAGAAAAGCCCACTGCTCCCGCTGCCGGCCGATTGCTGGCCTTCTGCCCCTAAAAACCGCGCGTGGCAGCGTCGCGTGATGTTGTGTCCTCTCAGAGCCCCAGACACTCAGGAACCCCCCCTCCACCAGAAGGACCGCCACTGCCGCCCCGAGCCGGGAAGCCGACCGGTGCTCCAGGTCAGACCCTCGTCGCCGCGTCGCCGCGTCCCCGGCGCCCGGGCCCCGGCTCCTGCATGTTTCTCTGCCCAGTGGCAGAAACCGTGCAGCGCGCGCTATCTGTCAATGGATTAGCCTGTTTTTCAGCTCCCGCTTTGCTTTTTGCCTTTGCCCTGCCGGCCGTCATCAGGTTCTAGGATAACACACCACTTCATCCACTCCCCGTATCTTGATATCCGTATGTGGACCATCTGCATTATATGCCCTGTAATCCTCTGTCGTGTAATTCCACGCTGCAGAGTTCACGGGTTCCTCCGGATTATACATTACCTGCACTGCCCTAACCTCACACCACGCTACACTACCTACATACTTGCACTGCCGGAGTGTTCCGCGGCCGAAGTGCAGGCTTCGTAGGGCTGCATCCCGAATCCGAAGGGCTTCGGCTTTCCCTAGCTCGGCTTTAGTAAGCGGGTGCAATCAAAAATACGATGCACTTCGGGCCGGGAGGTCCCGAACAGTGACCTCATCGCCGATGATCTTCATCCGTTCTGCACTTCCAAGACTTGATAACACATCAGATTATGGTTCTTTACATAACACAAAGTCGTAGCAACCAAAGCAAGAATAGGCCACTGATGAAATGACCGAATCATCTTGACAGGGGCGAGCAAACCGCCACGCAGCTTGAGGCCAGTCTGACCAGCCTGGAGAGCAAGCTGGACGAGATTCTTGCGGCTTTCGGGATCCCTCCTGAAGAAAACGAGGGCACTGGCGACGCAGGAGTACCCTCCGGCCCAGAAAAGGAGGAAAGCGAGGGCAGGTAAATGGTTCGATGGACGGGTGGTTCAAGGGGGAAGGGATGGGAGTTGGCGAAAGGGGGAGGTGCTTTTCGCAGTTGCTTGCCCAGTGTGTGCACTTAGTGTGGTAGAGACATCAGTGGATAGACAGAGGAGCATATCATGATTATGACCGTTAACCACAGGAGCAGTCCACTAGGTTCGAGGAGGTACAGCATGTACATATTCAACCAAAGGGCCCAGTAAGCCAGATTGACCAGGGCCAATCAAGACGTATTGTGGTATTTGTACGGATCAAGGGTGAATGATCATCAATCATAACCTATCTTGGATGACGAAAGGGCACAAACCACTCTTAGCCAACTCCTGAAACGTTGCCTTGCCCATGTATCCTGTCCCTTAGTCCTTACCCTCCGGGTTCCATTGATACCATGCCGAACACCATAGCAACCCATTAGACCCGACATCATCAACAAATCTGATCCAGGCCAAACGGTCCGAACAAACCAGTTGCGAACCTACGCGACAAGCCATCCCACCAACCCCCCTTCCCTCCCCCGGCTTACTCATCCCCCACAACAGCGGACCAGTCTTTCCGGATATACAGTTCGTCCAGCGTATCCGTTTTCTCGATGACCAGCCCCTTCTCGTTCGCCAGGTGAAGCAGGCAGATGAAGCAATAACTGGTAGAGATGTCATCCATAACTTGTTTCGGGTATACCCTCTGCAGGCTGTTCATAACATCCGTGAAACGCAGAGTTGGGTCCTTGTCTTTACCGTTGGGGCCATCGGCCGATTCGGGGGACCGTTGCTCCTCCGCTTGCCTGGCTGGTGTCTGGAGTTGGCTTGTGTCGTTACTATTGGAGCTCTGTTTTTGGTGTTAGTAGACCAGAACTATCGGCAACAGGGGGGAAGACGTGTGCATAGCGAGTAATAACGTACCGTAAGCTCATCAAAGCCCATACCCTTCCAGATCTCCTCCTTCAGCCGACGGACATCAACTTTCTTAGCCACGCGCGCGTATTGCACATATTCAGGTCTGACGCGCCGGCCCTGCGTGACAAGGTTGGTACCAAACGCCCCATCACCGGGGTTTTGGCCCATAATGCCCGTCGCCAAGTCCTGCAGCCCGGCTGTGGAGTTCATGCCCGGACCGCCAGCGCCAGGTTCTGGAGAAAAGTGCTCCCGTGCATCGGAGAAGCGGTCCATGTCATCATCGTCGTCCATGCCTCCGGCAAACGGCAGCCCGTCGTCCGCGAAGAAGTTAGCGTCGTAGTCACCCTGCGGAAGGGGCTCATCGTCGTCGTCGGGATGACGGCCAGGCCGGTCGTTGCCGTTTGCGAGAGGTGCTTTCTGCGTGGCCCAAAAGGCCTCGTCGACTTCGCCCTCAGGCAGATCGTCGTGGCGCTCGGAATCAATGTTACCGATGCGGCTTGTTTTAAGGACGCGCCGCCGACCCATGCGAGCCTTGGGCTTGAGGAAGAGACTGAGGAGCTGCTTCGAGCTGAAGTGCTTGTCGTCAGGGAGGAGGTTCTTAGTCTTGGACTTCCAGTCCTTCTTGGGCATCGAGATGGTTGCGTTGGAGGATGCCTTCGTGTATATGATCTCGGCCAGCGCCTTATCCAAGGGAGAGACGAAATCGATCTCAAAAGGCTGCTTCTCCTTGCGTTGCCGCGTGGGCTCGTTGGGCTTGTTGACGTCCTTGATCTTTCGTATCCTCCAGTGTTCGGCACTGGTCCAGTTCTTCTGAAGGGCCTGGTCAAAGTAGCTGAGGATATCTTCGTGGATCTTCTCCGCTGACCTCGGTTGGGACATCGCCACTACGTATTCACCAGTTCCAGCGTCCATCAGGTCAGCTCCATCGCCCTCACCATCCCCTTCGGTACCATCGCCAAGCCCGGCATCATACACGCGCATCGCGTGTGGCTCCAATGCAGCCTCCTTTGCCCAAGCCTCACCTCCCTCGCCGAAACCGACGTCTGCCCCCATGTCAAAGGTGCCGAGCCCATCGTCGTCGTCAAAGCCATCTGGGTTCTCGTCATCAATGAACATGGCAGACTTGTTGCCCAGACTACCGAGGCCGGGTGTCTTTTCCTTCTCCTGGTCGTGGCGCCAGTCATCAGGCACCTTCAGGAAAGGGATGTAGAGGGAACCTGACGGGTCGCCGAGATCGAACGTCTTCAGGGAGGGGCACACGTCCAAGCTGTCTAGGATGCTCAGATCAGGGAAGTATTTGGCACCAAGCGCAGCAACGTCAATTTCGACATCCTCATCCTCTTCCTCCGGTTGGGTTTCGACCTGCCCTGGTGCAGAGGCATCTCGATCGGTCATAGAGATATCGCCATCGGCATCTGCATCCTCAGAATCGGGGCGCTCATCATCGGCCTCTCGGCTAGGCTTGGCGCTGGCTTCAGCTACGTCCTCGGCGTCATCACTGCTGTCGAACACGATGCGGCCCTGTGAGTCAATCATTAAGTGGTTCAACAATAAGCCCTTGGCGCCACCCTCATCGAAGTCGGCGGATGCTTTCTTGAAGAACGGATCGACAGCAAATTCCAGCTCGAGTTTCTTCAGCTGGAGAGAAGCGAAGGATGGGGCCAGAGTGGCTTCAGATGATCGCTGGGTCTTCTTCTTGGGCTTCTTTCGCACAGTGCCGTCCTCATCGACCTCCTCTTCCTCCTCGTCATCATCCTCCCCACCGTCTTCCCGGTCCTTCTTTTTGCTGTCGCGACTGTCAGCCAAGCCACTCAGCAGCTTGCCTGTCTCGGTTGCGACACTGTCAACACGGCTGGTGTAGATCTTGACGCAGCCGTCCAGGGTGCAGCTGGCCTTTTGGAAGTTGACGCTGTCGCCTTCTTTCAGCAGGGACATATCGTGGAAGTAGTCGATCAAGGCAAAGTTCCACGAGTTGGCGGCGTTGATCTTGTTGTCCGTGGCCATCTTCATCCACTCCTCGAAGTTGGCCAAAATAGGGACGCGCTTCATCGGGGTAACAGCCCTACCGCCAACCACGACTTCCTCATCGTCGAGAAGGATGGTCTCGCGAACCGCGCTCCGGCGCCGATGTGGCGTCCGCGGCGTAGAGTTGGGGGAGGCCCCATGGTCGAGATCAGGGTTGAAGGCGCCGCTCGACTTGCGCGGTGTGCTTGTCGCGGCGGAGCGAATCTGGTTGATCTGGGCCTCGTGAGCGGCCTTACGGCCCTGGGCACGTTCGGCTTTCTCAATCGCATCATCGGCAAGAGGCAATCTGTCAGCATGCCGTCAGTACGGGGCTTGTCACGCGCGTCAGAGACGCTGTGCAGCTGTCCAACACAGACTCACTTGGCTGGAGACTTGAAGGGAGACTCGAGGAACGAGCCAGATCCAACTCGGCTCCCGCTTCTCCTGTGCGGCGCGACGCGAGGCATCTTGGTTCCGGAGTGTCAGTGAGCGAATGAATCGGGTTGTGGTGGTGGGAGTGCCCGTGTCTGGAGACGCGGTGACCCGGGACTGGGACTGGGTTGGGGTTCTGCAACCTGCGCTCGTGGGTTGACCGTTGCGTCTCCAAACTGTTTTGTTTACTTTGGCCCCTTCCCCGCAGGTTGCGCACGACGATTGGCCGAAATGAATCGAGGCCCCAGGAGGGGCTGTGCTAATCATTCACGTGATGATAAGCTCTGGCCTCGATAAGAGGCAACCCACCTCATCCATCATCGAAAATCAGCGATGGACACTCTCCCGGGACCGGGTCAATCTCCCCCAAACTGTGGGAAGCATTCCCAAAATTCTTGAAAAAGATCGAGCTCAGTTTGGATGTTTGCTCTCTCCTCTCTTGTGCAACGAGAGACTAGGTACGGAGCCATAGAACCAAGCTTGTTAGCTTGGTGTTGAACCCACTCCATCTGGTTTTTTGCCTTTCATCAACGATGACCATTTCCTGTACAGGCAGGAGCTAAGTCACAACTGCTGGTGCTATGATCCGTATCACTCTACCTACCTAGTCCCTCGTCGCGATTTATTATTCCGCGTTGCGGGCTGCATCAACTCTCAACCCTATCACATCTTGCAACGTCCATCACATCACCATTGGCTGGCAAGATCACGGAGTCTGGCCAGTGTTGTTCATATTTCTAAAGGCCGCCTTAAGACTCAGTCTACGCAGCGGATTGTCGACAACCTGTGCCCATCCAAGCCCCAGACTAACTGCCCATCAAACTGTTGTCCCCCACAAGCCACACGCGATCGCTGCAAGAGACACACCACGTTGCAGTCGGCCAATCGGCGGCCCACAAGCCGACAGCGGCAATGTAGCCGAGTGGCGGGGCGCGATGAGACATTGCGACGACGACGCAAGAGGCCATTGATGAGAATCGCAAGAGGTTATTACTTAGCTGTACTGCTTGCGACTTAACCTCAGTCGCTAGTCTCCAGATTCACAGTGTCGACCATGGCCACATTGCGGGCTTGCCTGATGGGATGACCTCATAGTCACGGGCCCGCTTTGACAGATCAAAGCATCTCAATTTGAACTCTAAACTCTGGTGTCGTTGGAAGAGACGACGCACCGTAACCACAGAGCTTCCCGAGGTACCTACGCATTACTCGCAGCCAGCGGGAGCTGGAAACCGTCAACACGCTGCATCGCACACATCTACCCCTGCCTTTCCCTGGTCGACCGATCAAGTCGTTCGCTATCTCACCGGGCTTGCACATCATATCCCCACCATGCTTCGTTCTTCTCGAGGATCCCGGTGACGCCTTCAATATGACATCTCTGCGAAGGCACAATCGCGACCGCCCAGTTGCGGCGGCCATGATACTCGTCTCTGTGATAACGGCTATCGCTCTCTTCCAGCATGTCCCCGTAACGGCCTCGAGAGGTGCTGGGAAAGTGGAACTCCGCTCACGGGCCTTCCAAGAGCAGGCAGTTGGCTGCCGTGCGGTCCATCGGGCCACCGATCAGTGTGCTTTTGTACGGACCAAGTGTGAGGATGATGAAGCCGGACTCCTTCCATACCTGACCTTCTACTACTGCACTCTAGGAGGAGCGCGACCTGTTGCTTTTGTTCTCCTCGCTACTTGGCTTGGTCTGCTGTTCACCACCATCGGCATCGCCGCCAGCGATTTCTTCAGCGTCAATCTTAGCACCATCGCTACTGTGCTTGGTCTCAGCGAGAGTTTGGCCGGTGTCACTTTTCTTGCCTTTGGTAATGGCTCGCCCGACGTCTTCAGCACGTTTGCTGCCATGGGTTCCAATAGCGGAAGCATGGCTGTTGGAGAGCTGGTTGGCGCTGCTGGTTTTATCACGGCTGTTGTGGCCGGCTCCATGGCCTTGGTCCGCGAGTTCAAGGTCAGCAGGCGAACGTTCGTAAGGGATATCGTGTTTTTCATTGTTGCGATCAGCTTCACCGTGGTCTTCCTAGCCGATGGCGAATTGCATCTGTGGGAGTGCTTCGTTATGATCGGCTATTACATCTTCTACGTCATCGTTGTCGTTGGCTGGCACTGGTGGACCGCGCGCAGGAGAAGACAGCGCATACTTGCTGCCGCCACTCAGTCGCATCTCTATGGTGTATCTGGATACGGAAGCGCGGAGCTGGAGCCTTATCGCGATGAGTTCGAGGAAAACGATAATGAAGCGGCCCCTATGGCGGCTGGCCGTCTGCCGAATATCTCTGAGCCTGCAGACATAACTGTACTGGAACTGGGTCCCCGTATTGAGGTTGATGGCGTGAGAACTTCTCCTGAGAGTCCGGATGTTGATGATGAAGAACGAGGTCTTCATGTTGCCGCTGAGATGGCCAGCAGCATGCGCGTCAACCGCCCTCGATGGGCCAGGAACAACTCTACCATCACACCCATCCGACCCAGTCTTGTGGGTGTACTCGAGTTCCGGTCAGTTTTGTCTTCTCTCCAGAAGGAGAGGAACATGAAGTTGGGCCCTCTCCACTCGCGGTCGCAATCATTGAATCAACCGTACTCTACTCCAGACGAGTCGCGTGGCCGCTCAAGAGTGAAGTCCCTATCACTCGAAATGGGCTCAACCACTCAAGATCGCCCCTTTTCGTCGGCGAATTCCTCATGGATCGCACGTATCGCCAGCCTTGCCCGCCCGGAGGCATCGTCACAGCCTGGAACCCGTGCAAGTTCAGTCGCGCGGACAGTTGATGGCAGGCTCGCGCCGCCCTTTGAAGGTCCCACGTCCGATTTTCTTCAGTCGCCAACGCAGCCCAGGCAGCCCCTCAAGTTACGAACACCCTCCCCCAGTGGTCGGTCCAGCAGACTTTCCTCGCCGCCTATGTCTCCGTTCCCAGTCATCTCAGAATCGCCTGGTTTTCTTTCCCCTCGGCACGAACCACTCACACCTTTTCCTTGCCCTGCTCCCTCGGAAGAACGGCATCATTCTTTGCCACCCCTTCACATCCAGGTTGAGAATCATAATCATAGGCCGGCTAGTTGGTGGCCATATGGCCTATTGCCCGCCCCTCAGGTGCTCCTTGCCACGTTCTTCCCGACTTTGCAGGGCTGGAAAGAAAAGACGCTTTGGGATAAGATAGTGAGCTTGGCCTCACTGCCAAGTATCTTCTTCCTCGTGGTGACGTTACCGGTGGTCGAGACCGAGAAGGAAACCAACGAGGCTTCCTTAGAAGCAGAAGACTTAATACTTCCTTCTCCGGCTCTACCAACCTCCGCGGGTTCTGTTCCCAATGGCGCGGAACCTCGACCCGAAAGTGAATGGCAGGCCTACCGGAGAAGAACGCGTTCTGCGACGTCACGGTCGTCACGCCCGAGCTTGTCACCGTCGATCTCTTCCTCACATATCCCTGCTGGACAGTTAACCTCCCAATCCCCGTCAATACCTCTCGGTCATCAAGAAAGCCAAGCAACCACGCTGATCCCACTTACCCAATCACAGCTTCCAAAGTCCGACTCATTCACCCCGTCCCCTGAGCGAGCATCGTCGGTGTCTCCAACTGGTTGGAACCGATGGCTTGTTTCCCTTCAACTTTTCACTGGTCCTTTGTTTGTTGCTCTCATACTCTGGGCCAATATGGCGGCAGGAGATGATAAACTAGAGAATCCTGGAAAAACCTTCGTAAAGTTCATTCTTTACAGCCTGACTGTTTCGCTTTGCCTTTTTGCCACTTTGTTGGTGACGACAGACCCTGATACGAAACCACGGTTCCAATATCTGCTTTGCTTTCTAGGCTTCATCATTAGCGTCGCATGGATTTCAACCATTGCTGGGGAAGTGGTTGGAGTCCTCAAGTCATTCGGGGTGATACTGGACATATCGGAGGCTATTTTAGGGTTGACTGTGTTTGCCGTGGGTAATTCTCTGGGTGATCTGGTCGCAGATGTGACAGTCGCTAGGTTGGGGTATCCTGTAATGGCACTGTAAGTCTCTTCTCCCCGCTTTACTTCGACGACGTGCTAACGATAAACCTTTAGGGCGGCCTGTTTTGGCGGACCAATGCTCAATATCCTCCTTGGAGTTGGCATTGGCGGTGCGTGGATGGGCATCAATGCCGCAAAAAGAAGGCAACGTAAGCATCCGGGGTTACCTCCAGACTACCGGCCGTACCGCATCCATGTCGGCAGCACACTCTTGATCTCAGCAGTCACGGTGCTAACGACGCTGATCGTGCTACTTATTGCTGTGCCATCAAATAACTGGGTCATGAACCGCCGTATTGGGCTGACGCTTATCAGCATCTGGGTTGTCGGAACTGTCATAAATTTGGTGGTCGAGTTGACGGGGATCTGGTCAGACCTGCCGAGATACATACTTGCTTAAATATACTCATTTTGATTTTGGTTCATGAAAGCTCATTTCTCACGTTTAGAAACGACACAACGTTGGTCTCCAGGGTCTACGCAACCAACGAGTTGCTTCAAAGCCAGCGCTCACGGCAAGGCTATGACAGTAGAGACTGCGGTAGCACTGTTTGACGCACCCTGCCATCTGTATCATTGCAGCAGCATCGTCCGGTTTGGGTGTGCCGAGATTCACTCGTGTTCAACGGAGAGGAAGTAGGCTGACTTCATTCATATATGTGGCCGTTGCCCGAGAAGTATGGGCTCCAAGGGCGAAGTCAAGAAAGAGACAATGCCACATCCAAGTATTACTGGTGCGCCTTCCCAACTACTGCTTATGTACATGCATGATTACTTCTTCGGGGGAAGGGGGCGGCGTGGCATATTGTGCAATGAACGCCGGTGCAGAGGATGCGTGGGCGAGCAAGTCAATGTGAAATGGCCAAATCGAATGCTCGGGAACGTCATCCATACAACAGCCCTACATCCTTGATTTGTTGAATTCATACTGAGACAAGAGAGGTTAACCCCGATACAGCACAGACTACCACCTATGGAAATGGCATGGGCGTCTTAAGAGCCAGATCTCTCAGTCGATCTGAGATCTTGTTCTGGCAAGGATACCAGTACCTAGGCAGTCAATCAAGGACAAGGTAAACCGACTGGATTTGCCAGCCTTTTCCCTCCGTACTGCCGGCCACATGGCACCCTAGTATTTTCGTGTACCCAAATCACAAAACGGCGATCCTGGAATCAACTCGGACATCTGGATGAATATGTGTGTTGATGTACGGAGGTTGTGCGATGTTGACCCCCTGGAGTCGAAAACCCCCTCCCCCCCTTTTGGCGATTCAGAAGAATCCGCCCGCACAAGGTTTGCTTACCCCGCTGTTCTATGGTGCTGACAGCGAGGGGTGGGGCCCACCTTCGATTGCTTGTCCTCTAGCGAGTGGAGGAGGGGCCCAACAAGAGAGGGGCAGCCGGGCCCAGATGTGCCCCACCAAAACCACTGCATCTGAATGGAAGGGGGGAAGTGCCGGGGGAAGTTGGGGAACGGTGGCCCAGGGTCGAGACACGTACAGGTCGCTTCACCGAAACTTTGAGTTTGACAGCCTTTCTGTCTCTTTTGCTACATAACACCTGTGCTTGTGTCCAACCGCTTCTTGAGAGTCTCTCATTGCGTGTATTTGGGTTGTTGCTTCGAATTATCTTGAGATCACGCTCTCTTCTTGCCCACCAGCAGTCTAGCTGTCTCTCTGTGTAAGGAACGAGCATCCTCCTCCATCTCCGCCAGTCCAACAACCCCTTTCGGATAATTACAATGGCGACTTCCTACCCTCCTCTCGCCGAGCGCGAGATCAAGAACACCATCTGCCTGTTTGATGTGGACGGCACTCTGACGCCTGCCCGGCTGGTGAGTCTAATATCATCTCCCCAAGCCTTGCAATGGCCCCATGGACAACAACATGTTCTAATCGATGTCGCCCTCGCAGAGCGCCTCGCCTGAGATGCTCGACCTCCTCAAGCGGTTACGCCAAAAGGTCGCCATCGGCTTCGTAGGCGGCAGTGACCTCGCCAAGCAGCAGGAGCAGTTAGGCAGCGCCGAGGTCGATGTGACGACAATGTTTGACTTCTGCTTCGCCGAGAACGGGCTGACTGCCTACCGGTTAGGCGAGCAGCTACCCTCCAACAGCTTCATCAAGTGGATCGGCGAGGAGCAGTACAAGGAGTTGGTGCGCTTCATCCTGCATTACATCGCCGACCTGGACATCCCCATCAAGCGCGGCACCTTCATCGAGTTCCGCAACGGCATGATTAATGTGTCTCCCATTGGCCGCAACGCCAGCGTCCAGGAGCGGAACGACTTTGAGAAGTATGACAAAGAGCACGGTGTGCGCAAGCAGTTCGTGGAGAAGCTCAAGGAGAAGTTTGGCCATCTGGGTCTGACGTACGTTCCTTTTATTATTTTTTAAATCTCTTCCCCCCCCCCTTCCCCCCCTTCTTCAGTTGCTAATGAACCTCTCATCCGGCCAGTTACTCCATTGGCGGTCAGATTTCGTTCGATGTCTTCCCCAATGGCTGGGACAAGACATATTGCCTGCGGCATGTCGAGGCTGATGCTGAGCGCCCCGACGGTGTCAAGTTTACCACCATTCATTTCTTTGGCGACAAGACTTTCCCTGGAGGAAACGATTATGAAATTTACAATGACCCCCGCACGATTGGACACTCGGTTACCGGGCCTGAGGACACCATGGCTGAGCTGAAGCGCCTGTTTGACCTCTAACTATGAAGACCAAAGCCGAAGAAAACAAACATTAGGAGCGCAATGGATGTTAATGACTGATAAGGGCTGGTTGGTTGGATGGTTTGCTGTCGAACTGATATGGGTCGTTGCGCTGCTGGATCCTGGTAGATCTAGAGCATTCTAGTGGATGATGATTTAGCTCGATACCTTAAATATCCTGCCTAGCAATGCCGGGTCAAAATAAACATAAAATATAATGAATCACAAAATGAAGAGAAGAAGAAGCTGCTGGACAAGCTAGAAGGTTACGAAGCTCACTGGCGTTTTCTTTTTTTTTTTTCCTTCCCCCCCCCACCCACAAGTCAACAAGAGTGATGGTACGTGTGTGATCTCTCGAACATGGAAAAAACATGATGGCTGAACAAGCTACCTAGATCACAAATTATATTGAAGTGAAAATATCCAAGCAGGCCCACTTTGCACTTTCCGAACCAAAACACTTGCCCCCTTAGACCGCACAGCACTTAATCCTCCTTCTATCGCCTCTCAATGGCCAAACTCCAAATGTGGAATGATGACGGGACCGTACTTAGTCGTCGCCTGGAATGGTCCATCACTCTGGACAACAAAATCAACGGCAAGGCTCAACTTGCCAAGCCCTCCTGACCCGTTGCTGTTGACACTTCCAGCATACCCGTTCTGCAGCGCCTCCGGATCGTATGCGATGATGGCCACGTAGTTACGGCGTGCCATGAGCTTCTTGTGCTCGCGGGTGGCGCCCGACGCTTCCGTGTGGAAGATTTCCATCATGTCTTCCTTGGTATCGGATACCTCGTGTGTGGAGCGGTGGCCGTTCTGTGGGACGTAGAGGAGTTTGTTGTTGTGCAGCATCTTGATCAGGTAGTTGGAGCAGGGGGCTGCGACGACAGGCGAGGCGATGATCTGGTACATCGTCTTATGGTCGTGCGGGTGCGCGGGGTCATGGACGAGGCCAGCGCCGCAGCAATTGACGTCTTGGGAAAAGAGAGTTAGTCAAATATTTAGCAGCTTAAGGGAGAGAGAAAGGGAGGGGGGGCAGGGGGAGGAGGCAACCTACCTCCTGACAGGAACGTCATACGAATGCCCTTTTGCTTGGCGATACCCTGTAGCGTACGGATAAGATATGTCCGCTCCAGGTCCTTGGACTCATGCGTCCACAGATCCTTCAGCTCCTCGGCAATGTCGATCTCGCCGAACTGGTTGAGTACGCTGCCCATCAGCCCGCTCTTACCAACCACCTTCTTCACCTCTTTGAAGCCCTGCTGCACCACTTCCTTGCCGCCGACCACGCCTGCGACGGAACTCGTGACTTTGCCCAAAAGATTATAAGTCGTGTTGACGGCCTTCTTGCCAGTGGCGAAGGTGTTGGCTAGGGTTTCCACGGTCTCTAAGCGCGGGTAAATGACGGGCACCGAGATCATCCAGATGCAATGCTGTACGCTAGGCGGCAGCATGGCAACCTTAGGGAAGATGCCCTGGTAGGTCGGGCCGTCCATGACACGGTTCAGCGTGCGCTCGGAGCGGCAGTCAGGGCCGACGACGACGACAGCTGGGCCGAGGAACTTGACAAAGTGCCAACCTGTGCCGGTGATGGTGAAGAGATCCCTGTCGGAGCTGATGTTGCGCAGGATCTCGACGGTCGTGTGATGCTGGAAAAGCAGGTACATCTCGATGGCGATACGGCCTATGCCCTTGAAAACATTGGACTGTTGCATATAATCCGGGTACGAGCCGAAGCCATCGAAGCTAGTGAAGAAAAAGTTCAGTGAAAATGGTACAAAAAAAAAAAGACATGCGAAGAAAGGGGAGGGAGGGGGGGGGGGCCAAACACTTACATGTCATGATCATCGATCTGACATACGTGCGGGATTTGGGCAAACGCCTCACGAATAAAGGGCTGGTCGAAGTGGCTAGTATAGTAGTGGAAGTAGGCGTGGGCAACATCCTCCTGATGGCGTGCAGTCCACGGAGCGGACTTCCTGTTCTCACGACCCTGCATGCCGAGCCACTGCTTCAGCAGAGGAACCTCCTTCCACAGCCGATCGCCATAGATCTGGCCGCCCAAGCCGAGCTGGACGTGAAACCCTCCGCATTCAACATTCTTTTGGAGAATATCCTTCCACATGAACGTGACGCCACCCAGCTTTGCGCGCTCGTTCTGGTTGGTAGACGTGGAGAAGTCGTTGCCAGAGTGTGCGAGGATGCGCCAGCCCGTCTCGTAGCGGCCGGCGACGACAAACTCGTAGCGCGTGCAGCCCAAATGAGAAGTCACAGCATAGGTCCAGCGCTCGGTGCCATGGTCTGCCATCTGCAAGTCAACGTCATACTTGTAGAAGACCCATCTCTGGTGGGTGTAGATGTTCTGAGGAATGAGCTGGCGCGGGTTCGGCGAGAGGTCATGGCTCAGGTGGATGTGGATAGTCGGAGGCTGAGGAGCGTCCGTTACCAGCATGATGCTGCCATACCAGATGCCTCTCTCCAGGTCCATGTTGACATAGCGCAGATAGGGACCGAAGTAGACGCCGTTGGCCGGCTGAATCTTGTAGAGCTCAACACCGGCGCTGGGGGGAGGGCCGCTGAAGCCCCCGACGGTAGGGGCCACTCCGCTCATTATGCTCTCAGCATAGCCAGGACGAGCACCATGGAACATGGGCGAGGCCAGGCCAGCCTTGCCAGAGCCCAAGAAGGGAGAAGCAAGGGGGTTTCCGTACGTCGACAGGGCCGGGGACATGGGCGCCGGGTCGTGGTTAAGGGGTTGGGGGCCCTTGGGGAATTCCCACTGAGTTGCCTGGGTTGCCAGATGAATGTAGTAATACTGACCGGAGTTCTGGTCAAGGGCTGCGATCCATCCCTCGGGCAACGGAGGAGGCTGCTGAGCAGCGGCGAGAAGCGAGGGCGTATGAGTGAGACCGGGCTGTTGCTTTGCGTCGTTCGCGAAAGCGGGATGGCCAGCATTGTGAGCCTGGGCCGCGGCAGTGGCTGACGCCGCGGTGGAAGGAGCAGCAGCAGCAGTCGTGACAGGGTATTGCGCAGCAGCCATGGCTTGCTTCTGCGATGCTGCCGTATTTGCGACAGGCTGAACCTGGGCCGGGTGAACAGGAGCAGCAGTGGCCCCGTTAACAGCGGGGGCTACATTGACAGAGGTAGTAGAAGGGTGCTCAGCACCTGGAGGAGGTTGGGCTTTCTCGTTGGGGAATGAGGGGCCTGCATCGGGGTTGATGGTATTGTAGGCCGGAGGAGGGGTCGAGGTTTGCAGGCGCTGGAACTCCTGCTCGAGGATGCTGACTTGCAAGCTGGCGGGAGGAACGTGTGTGACGGGATTAGGGTTGTGGGGAAGGTTGAAGACGGGAGCAGAGGGAGCAGAGGCCGTTGCTGTCGATGCTGCCGTGCTCGTTGTCGGTTGTTGTGGCGCTGGACTTGATACGATGGAATCTCCCTGATAGACCGTAGGAGGACCATAGGGATTCTGACCTGGCGGTTCTGTGGGTGTCCAGGGCCGCGCAGGTGGTTGCTGTTGCTGTTGTTGTTGCTGTTGCTGTTGCTGCTGCTGTTGCTGCTGCTGTTGATGTGGTTGAACGGTCGGGCGCTGCCCCGCGTACTGAGCCATGCGCGCCTGGGCAGCAGCACTTGTTTGAATGCTGCTGATCTGCAAGCTGTTGAGAGTCGCCGTTCCTGGGATGCCCGAAGCGGCATAGCGAGCCTCGATATCACCACCAGGTACGACACCAGGCTCAACGATGGGAGTTTCAGGAGGGGGTGGCGATCCACGGCTGGCGCGAGTCGTCGAAGTTGAGGCCGTCGAGGAGAAGCGGTTGAGATTAGCGCCTTGATTGGTCTGGCTGCCGGAGCCAGCGGGAGGAGGATAGTAAGGCTTCTGCTTGTAGGCCTCGGAGATCTTGGTGGTTGAAGAGCTCACAGGAGCAGTCTGGTTCCGCAGGGGCTTCGCAAACAGCTCGCCATCGTCATCGGACAGGCTAGCAGGGCTCAGAGGCTTCGGCACAGTACTACCACGCCTTTCGGCAACCGTCCTCTTATCCCCCGTGCTCACCGTGGGCCGCAACGGGAATTCGCCGAGCCTGGAGCTCGACGATGCCGGCGGCGGGCTCCCGATGCGGGATGTGGGCGACGGCTTAGGCGACGTTTTGCGCTCATCGTCGTCAAGCGGGTAGGGCAAGCGAGAGCTCGGCTTGGAAATTTTGGGCTTATCGTCGTCAGGATACGGCAACGGGTTGGCCGAGCTTGTGGCACCCGGAGCAAAGGGGAAGGACGGCAGAGGTGGCAGCGAGGCGATCGAAGGCTTGGTAGACGATGATGACGATGACGATGTTGCGGCTACGGAGGAGGATGAGGAAACTGCGGGGTACTTGGGGCGGTTCGCAGACTGGCCGTTAGCCGGGCTCTGAGGCTTGAATATCCTCAGAGGTTCGACAGTTGGGCTGTCGCAGTCCTCGACCGAAGGCGCAGGACGGCTCAGGAAGAGCTCATTTTCAGGGACGTCGCGTGATCGGGAGCCCATGTTGGCGGCGGTCGCTGATCCCTGATGCAATGATGCAATGGTGATGATGGGACGAACAGGCGCGCAGCGAACAGTTGGACCCCCCTCACTTCGAACCTGTTCGGCTGGCGGACGGTGGACGACGGGATGACGGTTGTTGCTGTGATTGTGACCCCGCCCCCGCCAAAGTACTCAGCAAGCTGGCAGAGCTGGCAGCAAGCACCGAGTATGGAGATGGATGAAGAGGAGCAAAGCAAAAGTAGTGTCGACGTCGACGCCGATGATGACAGCTTGGATCAGGATCACAGCTTCACGCTTCACATGGCAGGAGACAGGAGAAGATGGCGGCGTCAGAGAATCAGGTAGTGCAGGGCAATAATGCAATCTGCGGCCAGACATGCCGGCCACACGGCACACACACACACACACACACACACACACACACACACACACACACACACGCACACACAACAGCCCTTCCCACAATATATTTAGCTCTTCTGAGGTCCAGTGGTATGGCATGATACTGACCTCCTGCCCAGCTGCAGTGTTCAGTGCGCTAAGGTGCACAAGGAGGAGCACAAAAACGAACCTGAGCCAAGTCCGCCCACTCCGGCCCCCAAGAGCAACAAGTGCCTGAAGATGTCCGATGATGACTGCGGCACCGCTTCTGTCAAGACTGCTGAGCATACCTCGCCCTTGGAGGTCATTGCCCAAAAGCATGGTGATGAGATCTCCAATTTTGTGGCCAAGCACCCTGGGCTGGAGGAGGTCCTCCAGGACATCCTGATGGCGACCATGCCACCCGGCGAGCGTGGCCTCCAGTCCCTGCAGTCGCGTTTTCC